CTCCACCAGAGGCCTGGGAGCTTGAGGGTTCATCACAGTATCTTTGCTGTCCCGGGAACCGTGCATTTGGACTGAGATCTCTGATGTTTCTCCATGTATCTGCTGGAGCCACTTCTCTAGTGTCGGGGTTACTGCCCCCAGTGCTCCAGTGACTACAATTGCCTTCATCCTCCAGGATCTCTCTAGTTCTTCCTTGAGGCCTTGGGGTTTCTCATGTTGTTTTTTCCTGTTTCCATCATCTTGGATGTCCACATCGATCAATACAGCCATCCTCTGCTGCTTAACAATGATCACTCTTGTTGATATTCTGTACAAATGTTTCTGTGCACTATACTAGGGACTTGGTTGTGAAGTTCCATATATTCCCTTCCTGCCTGTATCTTAGACTGCTGGATTGTTTCTGGAGCTTAATTGCATTGCCTGCACCTGGGTTCTTGTATTGTAGATCTGGGTCTGGTCCTGTCCTGCAATGATCAGTGCTTCAGTAATGCCCAGACCTCTCTATTTATTGGTAGGATTTGGTCATATTAGCCAGTTCAGCTATCTATTGGTGGTACATCCCATGCAAGGGTCTGTTCCTAACATGATGGTTCCTCCAGTTCCTTCATTTCCAGATTCTTCCTTATGTTTTCTTGGGGCTTGGATGTATTATCTTTTATGTTGCTCTGATGGCCTCCGGGCCTCTGCCTCATCACTTGTGCTTGGTGTAAAGTCTGTGGATACAGGATTTGGGGTTGAATCCATCATACATTGTTTTTCTCCCAATGTTTACATTTGATCACTGCTGTCATGAGAGCTCTACAAAATTAAATTTTGTTGCTATACACTCTGTGGTATACAGAATAATAATAATTTAATTGTACATGGTGAGTAGCTTGTGTGTTTTAACATAAGTGAATGTCCTAATTACGCCAACTTATTTCCCCCAGCTGTGTAATCTGATTACTGTAAGGCATAGCTGTTGTTTGGCTGGACCTTGTTACCATTCAGCTAAAGAAGTTGCCCTACTTGCAAATATTTGTCTGTTGCTATGTTTCATATGGCCTCTTCGTGGTTGCCATTGGTATTCCAAGGTGCCATGTAGTTCTCTTCTACATCTGCTATTCTCCCTGTTTGGAGAGCAATCTCCTCCATCCCACTATTTGTCACCATCTGGCCAAATTTCTTCCTATTTATCTTACCTTTATGTCAATTACACTATTACTGGGTGCAGTCAGAGCTGGTTTAAACTGATTTTTGGCAATGCCATTTCTCTACTACCATTCCATTTAGATGTAAAAAAAAAAAAAAAAAAAAAAAAAAAGGGAAGCTCTGACATTAGCAGATACAGTGGATAATGGCAGGATAAAATTTGTTTCAGATGAAGATATGTAGTTTGAAAATGTCCCTGGTAAGGAATTAGTAATCAAAAGAGCACATAAATCATTCTAAAGCCCTTATTTTAAATTAAACTGAGTCTGGAAAATGATATAACTGCTTGATGGAACTTAAGTCAAGGTAATGTTGGGCAATAAAGAATCTATCTCTCTCTGTATGAGCCAATAGGTTTAGATAGTGGCTAAACTAAGGCTTAAATGTTGAATAATTAGGAATAAATGAGGATCTTCAATACGACAGCCAAACAATCAGATAAAGATGGAACCGGTCAGGAAACAATATAAGAATGGAAGAGTTTATACATTCTAGTTAAGTTTTTTATTCCTGAGGTGAAGAAGTATCACAAAGCATCCTTTATCAATTCCAAAATTTGTTCCAATGTTTATCTAGAATTCTTTAATTTTAAGAACAGACATAAGTGGTCAAGTTTCATCTGACCAAAACCAACACCATCAGAAAAAACAAAAAGGGTGAAGAAGTTAAAGCAAAATTCAAGTCAAAGCTTATGGGACAGCAGTGTCAGTGTCCACAGTTGTAATTTAAATAAAAATTATTTGTCTGAAACTGGTTTGAGATTTATTGGCTCATTTATAAGTATGCCACAGGATTTGTGTTTAGTGTCCAGTTAATGTAATAATGAACCACAAAGGAACACCTCCAAATTCTAGTTCCACCTAGTTGATATACCAGGCTAACCCCAACATTTGGCCAAGATGGGTGGACTCACCATCTCTACAAATTCTGCCAAGAGCAGCCATTAAAAACCCAGTAAGAAATACACACAAAACCTGTGTAGGTCTCTGCAACTTGGTGAGAAACATTTATTACATTTTAGAGGGGTTGCAAATACTTAGGTTTTAATATAAACCAGTGCAATTTAAGGAAAATCCACTAAAATTAGTTTATTTTCTATTTTATTTTTTTTTTAAATCCAACCTTTGTATCTGATCAATGATCATGATATTTATGTCAGAAAAAGGGTCACCTTTGCCCTCCTATCCACAGCATAACATAGATTCAGATTTTTGAGGTCTAATAGCAGGAAATGCACTATTTATTTGGGACAAAATAAAACAAGTACAAGATAAGAAATAAACTGCACCAAAAACTATTACAGCCATTTCTCGGCATGCATGATTTATTTCAGGTAATCCAGCTGGAATTTTGTCAGCTTTACACACCACAAAATATAATTAAAATCAAATAAAAATGTGTTTTATTTCTATTTCCACATTAAACAAAAATGTGAAAAACAGAACCTATTCAAGGCAGTAACCAAAGTACTTTTACCGTTGTATTAAAATTGGATTCTTTTATATTAAACTTAAAACCTTTTCCTGTAATGCGTCTTATATTAACATAATTTGAAAAATGAAAAGAGATCTCCTCTGGTTTGTTTTATTCGTACCTGACCCTAAATCAGACTGACAGCATCATTATAAAGTGTACAATACAAAAACCTTTTCATGGGACTAGGAAACCTTGGTGAAACAAATGAAAACACTTTAAACTAGCGCGCTATTGAGAAATTTACATTTGAAAAATTACCTTAGGTGATAGTGTAAAAAAAAATCTATAAAAAAAATAAATAAAAAATAACTGGGACTCAGATTGTCTCCCATTTGAAGTGACAAGATGATTGGTTCGATAATCTCAACAGTCACAGTCTAGGTCAAATTAAGTGCTAACATTTTTCTGTGTCAAAAGATCTGCCAGCTGGAAATCACAAAAATATATAAAACACCAAATTTCCCTGGGCTGAATTTTGCTGGCAACATCGTGATCTAAATTCCACCTTGCACTCCCGCCATACCTGGATGTCCACTTCGTGCACAAATAACCTATTAAAGCAGAAGCTGTTTTTTCATCAATCGTTAAAATTTTGTGGCTATTGCTCTTTGGCAGTGTCCTAGCTTTATATCTGAATACCTTCCCTTTCTATTTGTGAGTTGAGGTGGTGTGTTGGTGTGTAAAGGGCAATCATATTACTCTGAAATATACACCAAACATGCACAACAGCATTCACACCCATACAGTATGTTGCAAAAGTACTCATACCCCTTGGACTTTTTTTCACATTTTATCCTGCTACAACCCCACACTCCAATCTCACTATTAGTTTTAATGTAATATAATGGGTCGTTAGCATGTATATGTGCATTGAAAGGGAAAAAAAGACAATTTCAAATAAAAGAAAAAAGAATCTGAAAAGTGTAGAGTGCATTTCTATTCTGCTACATTAACTTAGGCACCTCGAAACAAAATCTAGTGCACTTTGCATCCATGTAAATCTGTCAGTATAATTCTAGCAGTATTTTGAAGGCCTCAGAGGTTTGTTAGAGAACATTAGTGAACAGAGAGCATAATGACCAAGAAGCACAGCACATAGTTCATGGATAGAGATGCAGGTTTTAAACCAGGGTTAGAATATAAAATAAACTAAGTCTTGATCTTTCAAAGTTCTGCACAATTCACCTTTCAAAAACGGCTGTTCATCTTCGTTACCAGGTGAGGGAATGAGACCATGTTATTTGGGACACATATAAAAAAAGGCCATCAGGTGACTCTGGAGGAGCTGCAGAGATTTACATCTCATATTAGAGCACCTCAACGGGTCAGTTATTAGACACACTACACATTCCCCTTCTACCTTCATTTAAGAGTTAGCAGGGGGAGAAAAAGAAGCATGTTCAAAAGTAGCCAGATATTCCTTTAAAATTTAGCCACAAGCCATATGGGAAACTAAAAACATGAAGGTTCTTTGTCATATGAGTGCAAATCATATAATACATGTGCAACACTCAGGGTCACCTTAAATACACCTTTCCCACTGTAAAGAAAGTGTCAGAATCATGCTGTGGGGATACATTTCTTTGGTACAGAGAACCTGGTCAGTGCTGATAGGAAGATGGAGCCAAATATGGGAGTCAGAGAAGAATACTTTCCATAAGCTGCCAAAGACTTGAAACTGGGAAGGTTTCGCTTCTAGAAAGGAAAGCCACTAAACATGCAGTCAGGGTTAATGGAATGGTCTGTGACCCTGGTCCTCGGCCCCATGTTCGGCCTGTTTTGGGGTTTTTTTACCTCCACACACCTGACCTGAATATAGGAGTAATTAACAGGCCTTGGAGGCTGCTAAGGAAATATATGTGATTCAAGTATGCTGAAACAGAGAAGTCTAAAATATGCCATACAGACATCTGGTTTAAAGTATATTGAAATGTTAGAGAAAGGCCTAGTGAAAGCCCACATCTGAATTCTAATGATTATCTAATAGGCCAACTTTCCAGAGCAGAATGGGAAAATATAGACCCACTATTATTATGGACTACTTTAGGTTGGTCTATCAGGAAGTCAGATTTTGTGGAAGATGGACAAATAAAAAAGAAAAGGGGGTTTAAGGGGTATAACTACTTTTGTAAGGCACTGTACATCCTTCACTGTGGGAAAAACACAAAGCATGCATACAAATTAGGCCGAGGAAAGCTACATCGCTTCTTTTTTACCTTCTCACACTCTTCCATCAAACATGCTTATCCAAAAAACCAAATGTGCTCATGCACTCTTACTCATGCAAGATCTCACACCCAGACACACACACACCGCTCAGTAATATGGCAAGGTTAGTCATTGTAAAAGTGCGGATTAGTCGCAGTTTCACAAAGTCGCTTTTATTTGCCATTTAGTATTGAAATATTTTTGCCAGTCAAAGACACTTAATTTCACAGTGCAACACAGTATGACAAACACTGACATTAGGGTCAAGACATATCATATGGGTGAGGTTTAAAAAATAAAATAAAACGTACAAATAAAAAAAACAGAATAAAATAAAAAGTGCAAAAAAAAAAACTTAACAGTCACTGAATATAGCATTGATTCAATTTTTGTGTTAAGTGTGTGAATTTTAGTTCACTACAGAAACAAAACTCATCAGTAGCAGCAAAAAAAAACAAACAATAAAAGACCAATTATAAAACATTATAAAGATAACAACCAATCACTTTACTAAAGATATCATTATGGCATCAAATGGATATCAATACGACTGTAGACAGACATTTACACACGCACACACACTCAGGAGTCACATGCACACGCACACAAACACTTGGTCACAGTTAACAGGTGCCAAGGACATTGCGGTGGGGAGTCAAGTTTTAGCTCGGTACCATGTCCAGAAACAAATACAAAACAAAAGGAAAATAATAATAATAATACACATTTCACACTGTTAAAGAATGCCAAAATCAGGATTTACACACTTGCAACATGCACACACGCGACGAGCCGAACCTTGGAGACGAAACTAAGGATGCGATTTTTTTCTGTTTTTTTTTTTGTTGTTTTTACGATTTCCTCACACTCTGGTCAGAAAACTGATGTGTTAGCCCTAATCCCCCGTCCCAGAGGAATGGTTTTCAGCAGAAAAACGGTTTCCCTGCTTTTTTCCCTCTCGTTCAAACAGGTAGAAAGAAAAATGTAGACAGCAATATGTGTGATAGAAGATAGCTCTGTAAAGCAGCACTCTGGTAAGAATGAAAGGTAGGAAACATAGATGATCATCTTACAGATAAGCAGAATTGGGCGAGCACAGATGGAGTATGTGATATTAAAATCCTATTCCCCCGTAAATTAAGTTATTATAGAGTTTTTACCTGTCTGTCCCTAACTACTTGTAGTAGGTCTGTTAAAGTCATAACTGCAGTGCCACCCACAGTCTGTCCCATGCACTACATGTGCATTATTATGAGCGTCAGCTTAAGTCTGTCGGGCTACCAGCTACTCGTTTAAAAAGCCTAGCTGTCCCAGTGATTCCAGGCAAGAAACAACCCTTCTCTCGCTTGTTCTACCCTGCCTCGTCAGTGAATCCCCTCCCAGTCTTTCCCTGAACTTTTCTCTGCGCTGCTCTCTTTCTCCCAGCTGGTCTCTTCATCTCTGTCTTCCCCCCTCTATCTGTCCCTAACAGTTAGTTTGTTTTTTTTCCTGTGTCGGGTCCCTGCCTAGTTAATCTAGAGGTGTCCCCCCCGTCCCTCCCTCCCACCCGCCCGCCCTCCCTCCCGCTATGGACAAACACATAGGGCGTGGGGGCCGTCCATCGGGGGAGTGGCAAAAAGCGTCCCTCTCCCTCCCCCCAGATCAGGGCCGTGCAATACACAGATGGATGAGTTTCCCATTCACCCTCCTCCTGCTGGCTCACCTGAAAATCATGAAGACACAAAATGTTTAGCAAAACAAGACAGCCGTTTCTATAAAAAGTTACTGTATGCGTGTAGTGGGGGTTGGGGCTTACCTCTTGGTTGGGTGTCGAGAACCTAAACACCATAGCAGGCTGCCAGTCTCTCCTTCAGCAGTGGAGGGAACTGCTCGGAAAACTGCTGCCAGTTCTCCTCCCCGACCTGCTCCTTGAAGCCATGCAGGATCTGTTGGGTCAGACCAAAGGATGTTGTCAGTATGTGCAAAAGAAGCTTAATTTAATAGAAGACCAGGCCCTAAATCACGAGTTTGCATGGAGGCTCTCCGTCCAATCTGACAGAACTTTGGCGCAAAACAATTATAAAAAGTGCGGCTCCTTGATCTGCAAAGTTGGTAGAAAAGTTAATGCAGAAGAGAGCAGGTTACCAGTTTCAAAATATAAACAAGTCATGGTTAAAACTTGGGATGGTACCTCATACTGTAGCAGCGCTATTAGCATTATTTGATCTATTTATTTTTCTTTTTTTTAATAAATCTTATCAGAAAGAGTGCTCAGGTTGTGGAGGGCAGCATCCCAAACTTTTTCCACTTCTTTGTCCCTTTTAGTGAGGCCACGACATGCACACTGCTTCACTCTGAAGCATTTTAAAGTCAGCTATATGGGGATACTGTGAAGAAGATAGGAAGCCACAGCTTGGAGGAAGAATGTGTGTTTAGACAGAGGCTACCAAAGAAAACAATCTAGCTAACATGATAGCACATCTGTCAGAGCAGGGATGTCGAAGTGAAATACACAGAGGGCCAAAAAAAACTAATTTGCTACAAGCCGAGGGCCGGACTGGTTAAATGTTTGATCAAATATATTGAAATAACCATAGCCTATTGAACCAAGACCTAACATATAGTTTTTTTTAATAACAAAATATTAATATCAATAATATGAATAAACTTTTATTATATTGATAAACGTATTAAGATAAATACGTACATGAAAGTGCATGCATTATAAACCGAAAACGCATTACTGTGCTGCTCTATGAACCTACCGATCACTGCTTTCAAATAGTAAAATTAGAAGACAAATTAAATCAGTTGTATTCTCTCTCATGGCTCTTATCTGCATTTTTTTCCTGAGTCCATTCAACCAAAAAATATGAATAAATAAAATAAAATACAAAAATCTATGGCACACAGACAAAACAATACTTCCTCCAAAGAAAAATCATGTCTTGTACAAAGAAATGTAAAAATGTTGTGATGAATCACAACAGCAGACCAAGAACTCAGCCAGAGGTTCTTCAATTTTTGCACGCAGGTGTTAGCAGAGGCTGATTGAAGCCAAAATAAAAACGGACACACTGCCGAGTTTGGGTCAGGTGGGATCCGCACGACAGGCACAGAATACCGGGAGATGAACAGATGGCAAAGTCAGGGGAGGGATCCACACCTGTAAGTAGTGCTCCGTCTCGATCACAGTATTGTGTGGATCCCACCTGCCCCTCGCTCAGCAGCGTGTTCGTCTCTATCACCTGCAGGATCAGCTCCGCCCCTCCCTCCATCCAAGCTCCTTTTATTTTGGCTTCATTCAGCCTCTGCTGACACCTGCGCAGCAGTTGTGGAGCGCAGTTAGTGCACTCCGCCCCCTTAGACAACCAACTTCAGCCCAGCCAGGATTGTTAAAGGAGGAAAATAGCCAACATGCAAAGCACAACAAAAAAATTTAAATAAAAGAAAAACACAATCACGTTTTCCCCTGGGAATGTAGTGTTGGTGCGTGCAACACAACCACAACAACACTACATTCCCCACAATGCAACGGTAGCCCGCAAAGTCACAGGAGCGCGCACAAGTGGCCTGTGGGCCAGTTCTAATGGTAATTAAATATCATCCAGGGGGCCATGGATAAACAATTTGGGGGCCTTGACTTTGACATGTGTCAGAACATCAACAAGGATTGTCTGCTGAACTTAGTTATGATTTAAAGACAAAAGTACAGAATCCCTTCATAGATGTAGCTGCATACTTTGTGTTTACTTGTTCATACTGATCCTTTAATCAATTAACAGTTTATATTTATGTGACAAAAATCAAGGGGAGCAAGGACCTGAAAGGCATGACACCTTTATCTGAAAACGGCTTCCGCTAACAGATAAGTTAACCTCGACTAGAGAGATTATGCTGAAGATCAGCCCACAATTCAACAATTATTGATTTTCTTTCACCATTTTCTTTTTTAACTCAGACATTTCAGAAATAAAGTCGTAATCATCATACTGTGACACCATGATATTTTTGCTTAAGGTTATACATCATAATTTCAGATGTCTTCTTAGTAATTATGTACAACCAAATTGTATGTTATTATAATTTATGCCAATTTAAAATAAAAAAGTTTAAAGAACTATAGTAATAACATGATTTTAAAAAGTACTTTGAGCTAAATTGTTTATGAAAGAAATTTTTGAAATACATATGCATTTCTCTTTAAATCAATAGGTTTGTGCAAAAACCTGATCCAAGAGGAATTCATAAATAGAAATGAAAAATACAGATGACAAAATATAGTCAAGTAAAGGAAAAATTGGTCTAATGAAGGAAATTCTAAGGCCTCAAATTAGGATGATTACAAGTAAAAAAATAAAATAAAAAGGAAAGACTGAAAAGGAACTTTGTTTAGTATCTAATGCTACTAATGAGGGAAGAGGAGACCTGGGAAAGGAATCTAAGACCTTTACCTTGTAGAACATGTCTCTCAGATCGTCTTTAGGATTCACCCAGGAGGCCACAGCATCACAGAAGAAGATGAAATCCTGGGTAACAATCAGGAAAAAAGATCCAATTAGTGTAAAATCATAGAAGATGGAGTTATGGATAATTTGATGATAAAGCTGCAGGGCTCGATGTCTCACCTGCACCACACCTCCAGGGTTCACGCCGATCATGATGCAAATCCCACGGAAAGCAGAGTCTTTCTCCTCGTTGTCTCGGATGTTGCGCAGTGACGTACACCTGGAGCGTGTTAACAAGGAATTAATTAGCAGCAGATACCTATCATTTTACCTAAGCTATGAGGTTTATTAGAGCTGAATAAATGTCCCACCACGGTCGGATAAACTGCGGCAGCATGGGAGCGACCTCCTGAGGGCAAACGTAGCCCAGTCTGCCGATGGTGATGGCTGCAACACAAGGACAGCAGGCGTCAAGCAGTAACAGTGGGAAACGTGGGGGATCGTGGAAATGCAAAAGTCTACGCACCTGTGTTCTCCAGCAGAGTTTTGGGTGTGTTTGGTCGGTTAATGATCTCAACTAGCTGGTTTAGAACCATAGCTATGTATGGCTGCATCTCCACTCCTGATGGAAGGAATAGAGAACAAGGTCTTGAGATCTCATTGTTGAATAAGAACGTCACGGTAATGCAAAGCTGAAGGCACGAACCCATCTGCATGCAGATCTCCCCTATAGCCCAGGTGGCGTTGTTGCACACAGAGATGAACTCTGGGTTCAGATTTGTTCCAAGGATTGGCATAAATTCAGCTAAAAGAGAAAAAAAACAAAAAGAATCTAAATAAGGACAACAGTATATTTTCATCAGCTTACAATAAGAATCAGCAACCCATCCGAACCTGATGCAAAGTCTGCATTAGATATCTACCAACCTTAATCAGTCAGAATAGAGGGAACATTTTCCTTTTAAGTTTTCTACCGTCACTTATTTCCTTACTTAAAACTAAGTAAATTTTAAACTTATGCATTCTTAATATGAGTATAAAGCTTGGGAGGACCAGAAAAGAATGATTACCAATGCATGGTTTGACATGAGGGAAGCAAGCCTTGGTCAGGTCACCCAGCAGGGCAAAGGAACTCTGCCTCACCTCTGGCATTGTATCCTGAGACAAAAAGACAAAAAAAATAAAAATAAATAAATAAAAACAGATATAAACTAAATCTACTGAGCATAAGAAATGTTCCAAACATTTTCACATCATCCAATTATCAAAAGGCCAAACAGAAAATAAACAGATTGATAAAAAGACAGATGCATGTAGGAGAGGATCAATAAGAGCCTGGGAACACCCTCCCTTTGAAGCTTGTCATATTGGGTCACTTTACACCCAATCATCAACAGTAGGGCTTCACTTTTTCAGCAAAACATCTTATTACAAAGCTGTTGCAATAACAATGCTGATAATGAGCAACCTGCTCTATTATCTCTCATGTTCTTCCTTGAACAAACGATGTCCTGTTGCCTTCAGCCTCTTAATCACAGAGTTAAAATCTGCCTAAAGGGTCACATGTATCATTTGCATGAGGAATTTGCATACAGTGCACTTTAAATATATTTTCCTAACAAATATGGACTCCAAGCAGACCTTTGTGTTGGCAATATTCACACCCCGATACTGTAGTGACATTAACTAACAATAGACTTTGCAGCTCTGGTAAATCCGGTCTATTTAGAACCCCAGCTGTTCTGTGATGGCCTCAAGAGGTTTTTTGGAAAACATTAGTGAAGCAAAAGCATTGTAAAAAATATAGGATCACAGCGGAAACTTCAAGGAGAGAGATGTGGGGGACTTTAGAGCAGGGAAGGGTTATAAAACAAATAACCAAAGCATGGCAGAGTGGCAGCAGTGTTAAATATGGATGAGCTTGAATGCTAGCATAATTTCTGTGGTATTTGTTAAACTAAATATTAGTGATAATGAAAAAAAAAATACAACTTTTTTCCAGTCTTTTAAGGCAACAGTGCAACCGACTGCATGTTACTATATCCACAGCTGCTCAGACACAAATACTGCTTTAAAAAAAGAAAAAGGAACCTAATACATGCTTCAGAAAACTATCACTTGAGATTTTGGACAGTAGATTTGTTGAGACCCCAGAAAGATACACAAACCATCTTATTCCATCTGATTCACAAGTATGCACAACATATTATATATTAAATCCGAGCACGGGGATTAGGTTAGTGATGTGACCAAATGTGAATAAGCTGAATGGATGTGAATAGTTTTTGAAGGCAAAGCATTTCTGCAAAAGTATGGAGACTATATCACAAAATATTTTTCTGAATTTCTACATACTGTGTTTGAACATACAGGTGCTGGTCATAAAATTAGAATATCATGAAAAAGTAGATTGATTTCAGTAATTCCATTTAAAAAGTGAAACTTGTATATTATATTCATACATTACATACAAACTCATATATTTCAGATGTTTATTTTGTTTAATTTTGATGATTACAAATGACAACAAATGAAAATCTCAAATTCATCATATCAGAAAATTAGAATATTACTGAAGACCAATAAAAACAAAGGATTTATAGAAATGTTGGCCAACTGAAAAGTATGAACATGAAAAGTATGAGCATGTACAGCACTCAGTATTTAGTTGGGCCTCCTTTGGCCTGTATTACTGCAGCAATGCGGCGTGGCATGGAGTCGATCAGTCTGTGGCACTGCTCAGGTGTTATGATAGCCCAGGTTGCTCTAATAGTGGCTTTTAGCTCTTCTGAATTGTTGGGTCTGGTGTATTGCATCTTCTTCTTCACAATACCCCATAGATTTTCTATGGGGTTAAGGTCAGGAGAGTTTGCTGGCCAATTAAGAACAGGGATACCATGGTCCTTCAACCAGGTACTGGTAGCTTTGGCACTGTGTGCAGGTGCCAAGTCCTGTTGGAAAATGAAATCTGCATCTCCAAAAAGTTGGTCAGCTGCAGGAAGCATGAAGTGCTCTAAAACTTCCTGGTATGTGGCTGCGTTGACCCTGGACCTCAGAAAACACAATGGACCAACACCAGCAGATGACATGGCACCCCAAACCATCACTGACTGTGGAAACTTTACACTGGACTTCAAGCAACGTGGATGAAGTGCCTCTCTTCTTTTCCTCCAGACTCTGGGACCTTGATTTCCAAAGGAAATGCAAAATTTACTTTCATCAGAGAACATGACTTTGGACCACTCACCAGCAGTCCAGTCCTGTTTCTCTTTAGCCCAGGCAAGACGCTTCTGACGCTGTCTGTGGTTCAAGAGTGGCTTGACACAAGGAATGCGACAGCAGAAACCCATGTCTTTCATACGTCTGTGTGTGGTGGTTCTTGAAGCACTCACTCCAGCTCCAGTCCACTCTTTGTGAATCTCCCCCACATTTTTGAATGGGTTTTGTTTCACAATCCTCTCCAGGGTGCGGTTATCTCTCTTGCTTGTACACTTTTTTCGACCACATCTTTTCCTTCCCTTCGCCTCTCTATTAATGTGCTTGGACACTGAGCTCTGTGAACAGCCAGCCTCTTTAGCGATGACCTTTTGTGTCTTGCCCTCCTTGTGCAAGGTGTCGATGGTCGTCTTTTGGACAACTGTCAAGTCAGCAGTCTTCCCCATGATTGTGTAGCCTATAGAACTAGACTGAAAGACCATTTAAAGGCTTTTGCAGGTGGTTTGAGTTAATTAGCTGATTAGAGTGTGGCACCAGGGGCCATCAATTTTGAACCTTTTCACAATATTCTAATTTTCTGATATGATGAATTTGAGATTTTCATTTGTTGTCATTTGTAATCATCAAAATTAAACAAAATAAACATCTGAAATATATGAGTTTGTATGTAATGTATGAATATAATATACAAGTTTCACTTTTTAAATGGAATTACTGAAATCAATCTACTTTTTCATGATATTCTAATTTTATGACCAGCACCTGTAATCTACAGCCAGTGCATCAAGTTAATTCCACAGATGTCATCACAGGAAGCGAAGACAGTGGTGAACTTCACCAGACTTGTTAACGCCACTCACTTGCATGCACTGGAACAGCAGCGTCATAATATTGCTGCGAGCCACCAATGTGTCCACGTGGCCCCCAAGCCCCTCAGCCAAGCCGCTTAACAGGTCTAGGGCCACAATCATGAAGTCCTTGTCTGGTGCCTCATATTGGTCCGGCTGCTGACTATACATCTGGGAAACAAAGGAACAGGCTCTATGTCCATACATTGATATGAAATGTCTTTTTTTTAGGTCATGTAATGTAGTCTGGCTCACCATGGCCTGAGCCAACGTCTTCTGGACCAGGGTTACACAGCGCTGATACACAGGCTCGCAGTACGGGAGGAAGCCGCTCTGCAGCGCAGTGGCAACAGACGACAGGCACTCAAGCAGAGGAAAGAGGTCCTTGTCCTCATCCTTCAGCTCGTTCCATTTTGCTATCAGAGGCGGCATCAGCTTCTGAATGTACTCCTAAAAAACCCCAAACGTTTGGTGTCAGGCTGTGTGTACTTGTGCAGGTGTGTAAGTGTGAGACGGCTGAGCTCACAGGTTGGTTGAGGTGGTGTCCCACAGAATCGGCCAACGTTCCTATGGCATCATAGAGAATCAGCAAGTTCTTGTGTTGATATTTCCCGAAAGCAAATACCAGCGTGTCCAGGATGAAGCTCAGATAAGGCACCAGCTCTGTACATGCCTCCTCCTCCAGGGTGGCGAAAGCACTGAGGGTGACAAGACATGGGTTAGGATAACTGAGCACGGAAAAAAAAAAAGTAGCACAGACAAAAGCGAAGAGTTGCACCTGCATGCTGCCTCCTGCACCCTTTTGTTTCCATCCAGGATGCGTTTAAGCAGCTCTGTCATGAGGGGCTTGAGGTGATTATCAGGGGGCTGGCTGACCACCCAGTGGGCATAGCGACTGAGAGTCCAGCAGGCAATGGAGCGCACCAGAGCCTTCTTGTCACATAAGCACTGGATGAGATGTGGAATGAGCTCTGGCAAGTATGGCACCATTCCCTGCATGCAGCCTGAAACAAGGATAACCTTTATGCACCTTGCTCTGAAATTAAAAGGTTAGATTTTAATGTAATTTTGTGAATTTGTGCAACCTTCAGCAATGGCCCCCAACACCAAGATGCCAGACTCCTTGATGACCCAGTCAGGGTGGAACAGCAGGCCTTTGAGCAGAGGCAGGAGATGGGGAAGCAGCTCCTCACGGAAGACGTTGGCCAGAACGTCCAGAGCTGCAGCCGAGCACTTTCCTGGGAGAAGGAAAAAACATTTACAACAAAAACCAGAAATCCTCCTTTAAAGTCAGATCAACTTGCATGCAAGTAAAACTACTCAGATTAATATACTTATAGTTCCGACATCAGATTTTCACCAAATGTGTCCCGTTACAACAGTTAGCAAGTACATCGATTTACTAATAAGTTGACTTCTGAGGGAATCACAATGGATTGTATTTATGGGTACCAGAGTAAAGGCAGCTTGATGCAAATAATGCCACAAATGTTTGTTTGTTCACCAAATGATTATTTACTGCTTTGCATTGAACTTTTAAATAAAACCTCACAAAAAATATCAAATCTTAAACTCTAATCTAATGATTAGAGAAATTTGTTGGCTTTCTAGCAGAAGAAGCCAAACTTTTCCATTCAGCCCTTGTGTCTTTTTAACAACAGCATTCCTTGAGATGTCTGAAGGTAAAACTGCATGGTTTTTTTTAAATTGAAAAGCTCAAAGGTTCTAGAAGACAAAACGCAATTAAAAAATAAAAGTTTCACCTAAATACAGGGCTTTTTTTAATGTGGTCAGTAAATACATGGTTCAGGTGTTGGGATGATTTATAGATAAATAAATAAAAATAAAAAAAATAACAGCCAAAAGAATAAAGGGACATCATTGATGGGTGAGGAACAAACAAATGGACAGATGAGTGGCAGTGGTCAAGTGGGTCGCTGAAATGGTGAGCAGGAGGGTGGATATACAGTTTAGAGACTAGACAGATTGACTGTGGATAAGCAAAGGTTTAATTAGATGGATGTACTGATGGATCAAACCATTAATAGATGAACAGATGGAGGAACAGAAACCCGCAACACACAACAAATCGGTAGTCCTCAAACCTGCTCCTAAAATACCACTACCCTGCATGTTTTAGATCCTTCTGTTGCAGCACAACTGCTTCAAAAATTGCATGAAGTCCTAAGGAGGTATCAAACGCTGCAGAATCCTGTTAATCATGCTTATATATAAGCAGGTATGAGGCAGCAAGGAGAAATGAAAAATGCACAGGACAGTGCTACTCGAGGACAGGATGGTAATTAGGGATGGGGATCGAAACCCGGTTCCATCAAGGACCCGGTTCCACTTTTTTCAAAACCCGAAAATCAATAACGTTTGGGCTTATCGATACCACTATCGAGTCTGGTCGTTTTTTTTTTCTCCCGGAGGTCCTGTAACATAATTGTGTGTCCCTCGAGTCGCGTCACAGCATTTAAATCTAATCAATCCGATCACTGCAGCATGTCCACCAATGTTTTGGAATGAAATTGTAAGCAAACAGATATTAAAAGTAAAACAAGTCTGGCACTTAACTTTGCTCGCGACTCGAGAATGGCTGAACGGAAAAGACTCCTCCTCCTCCTCCTCCTGCCCCCGCACCACAGCCGGGCCCGTCTTCATCATCCACTCAGAGTACCACTGGTAAGCGCGCACACAGACTTTGTAGCTTGTCCGGTCAGTTAAAAATAGTAATTGTGAAATCCGTGTTGTAATCGGAAGCATACAAGCTAGTTAGCTTGAAAAGTAAATAAAGTTTCAGACGTGCTGCGTGATGATGTGTTCAGATTGGCTCAGTAAAACGACAATTAGGTTATCATGATGCGTTCAAGTGTAACGTAAAGAAAACGGGAAATTGAGTTTTTAGCGAGAAACATTAGTAATACAGTTGTATATTGCTCTAATTATTTTAGAATATATAATTAAACTACTGATGCCAACATTTATTAAAAATTACATTTAATTTAAAATACAATTATTTATTTGTTAAATATTTTCCTAATCACTAAAAACATGATGAAAAGTGACAGTAGACAATACATTAACCAACAATTGTGAAAATATATTCTAGTTAGTTTTATGTCATTTCAAAGTGGCCTATTACATTAGCCATGTTTATTGAAGGCTAGAAACGTTTTTGTTATGCCCACTTGTTAAGCAATAAAAGCAATACCAGTTCTGTTAAAAAATATTGTTGCATCGTCTTTCCACCAAATAACAGAAAAGTATCGATAGTGGTATCGATAAAGACTCGGATCGATAAGGAGTATCGATAAAGGTATCGATATCAATAAATATTAACAATCCCCATCCCTAATGGTAATACTGCCACTCTGTATGCAGATACACAGGGGTCGCAGCATGACATGAGGCATTATTAAGGCTGTTGCTTTATTTCTTGTAAGTTATGCCACTTTCGAATGCTGAAGCAAGTTAGAGACGCGAACCATGATAGATAATCCAAATGCAAACTATTGCTACATATTCGTATAGGTGGACAAATGCAAACTACGGGGTAAGTAAACAGTATTGTTTAATCTATTAACTCGTATAGGTTTTATATGCATATATAGTCCTAAATGATTGTCTCAAACTTAAAATGAACGTCAATTTAACATGACATCAGCATTTTTACAAGAATGCAAGAGAAATGTGCCTACTTCTCCATTGTTTAAATGGATGTAGTTTAACCTTTTTAAAGCTACATGTTTTGATGTCCTTCTCACCAACACATTAATCAGAGCAAATCGCAGCTGCCTTAGATAGCTTGTGCTTTCTCTTGCTGATGCTCAGTGCTTATTTACAAAGTTCCCTCTCAATCATTCCTTTTAGCGTTTTTTATACCCCATTAAACCCAACGTGATTTTTTTTAATTGATTGACTTTACTGTGGAGAAATGTACTCGTTACATCAGCTCAAATAGTCAAAGAAGAATGTGCCAAAGGAAGAAAAAGGTGCATGGATATATACAGTATATACGGTGTGTCCACATATGACAGCTTTTTTTTTTTTAATACTAGAATTATTATAAAGGGTTATAGTAGTAATATGCTAAGCTAAAGCCTAAACCTACATACAGCAGGGCTCTTTGTAGTATTAAAAACATGCCTTTATGCTGCTGTGCACCACCATGTGGGAACTATCTGTGCCTAGGAACTAGGGCTGGGCGATAATTCAATAACGATATATATCGATCGATAGACGTGTGGCGCAATAAAAAAAAATAGGCTAGATAAAAGTTCGATAAAGAAACGCAGTTTTCCTTCCTTCTCATTGTAGCCTAGCATGTAGGTTTATGCTAGTCACGACTTCCTCCTAACCAATCGCAATCGCGGACCCAGGCATGCCGTCACAAAGCGCCACCCTCTCAAACCACAACACAGAGCACATGAAGATGTAGCAGCAAGGAGAGGCGGAGGAAATTGTTCCAAAGAAGGGTTTTTGTAGTTCGGCAGTATTTCGGTTATGGCAAGTCGGACAAAGAACAAACCACAGTCATCTGTAAAATGTGTCGGGAACAGGTGAAAACGAAGTCTGATAACACAACCAACTTTTTTTTTTTTTTTTATCATCTCAGCCGCTCACACCCGCAGGAGTATGAGCTGTGTAGGCCCCGGCGCGGCTCACCTCCGAGGAATCTTCGGGAATTTCAGGAAAATATATATATAAAGTTCTGGGCAGTTTCCCACGTAGTTCTAACAATTGAGAGAAAAATGCTGAGGGGCCAGAAACTTCAAAGTAATAACTCAGGTTAAAGCAGGAAAGAATGGGGGCGGCGGCGGGTGGTCCATTTATTTGTTATATTTATTTTGGTCACTTTAGTTTATTCTTTGTCAGTATTTTATAACATAACTCAGGTCTTTTAAGTTATTTTTCTTTAAAACAATTCTGTTATGGTTAAAAAAGTTGGTTAAATAAATATTTAATTGGAAGTCTGTGTTTGTGTTCTTTATTAAAATTAAATCATTTAGCAATATCATAAAAAGTCCAGGCAGAGCTGCACATAAAATATGGTTTCAAATCTTTTCAATAATTATCGATATCGATCAATATGCATTTTTTTTTTATCGATAAGCTTTTTTTCTATATCGCCCAGCCCTACTAGGAACCCTGCATGGTTCTCTATAACTAGATCTAGTTGTGTCAATAGCTTACGAAGATTCCAGTCAGACAGCGTGTCGTCATCATCATCCTCATCCTCGTCTATGTCCTCCCCCTCCTCGCCCTCCCCTCCCTCGTGTTGCAGAGTCACGGTGCGAGATTTGTGGAAGCGAGGCTTGATGTCCTGCTCGCTGTCTGGGATCGTCTCATCCTCCTCAACATCACCCTGGAGGACATCGAGACAAATTTCAAAGTTAAATAAACTCCAAGTGAAGGTTAAGGAAGGAAAAAGTGTGGGTTAAACAAGAAAATGTTTACTTTTAGAAGAATAATGTCTATCTCAGAGTATTTCATCCCATTCACCAGGATAGGAATCAATCTTAAAAAAAAAAAAAGGAGAAAAAAAAAAGAGAAAAAAAACAAGATAAGTAAGGTGAGATCATCTTTTCATCATCTTAGTCCATCCAGCAGCAGGTCTCCACTTACTGAACCAGGTGACCAGACAGGGCCTCTTTACAGATAGGCTGTTCAGCCAGAGTGAGCCAGAACTCACAGGCTTCCAGAGCCACGTTTTCATCTGGGTCCTGAGTCCGTTGTAGCATGTACTGCAAGCAAGATTAAAAAAAATAAATTAAATAAACACACACAAAAAAAACCCAGTTGATGGCGAGAATTGGATCTACGACAGTAACAGGACTCCATGAGTTTCCTCACCTGAATGATGCTGTGCATGTGTGGGATGAGACGATCGATGCGGACTTCCAGCAGCATGACCAGAGCCCTGCAAACGTTCTTCCTCACTTCACTATCTTCATCACCAGCCAGCGCAAACAGACTCTACAAAATGGTATCAGATGACAAGAGGGATAAATATACTGTATGATCTGGGGAACTGTAAAGTGCCACGAGATGACGTGTTGTGAATTGACGCCATATAAATAAACCAAATTGAATTTAATTGAATTGATTTTAGTCTAGTACTTGAAGATTGGAGCTCATGAAGTGAGACCTAAAGCTGAAGAACTGCCAACTTGATGGATGCGTGAGAAAGCAGCGCCAGAAGATGGTGACACTGTGCAACGTTTATGTCTACTGTTACAGTTGGTACAAAAAATTATCAGGCTCGAAAGGTACTTACAATATCAGGATAAATGTTGGTTAAATATATGAACTATTAATGTATTTTACATATGATTTATGTTGCTTTTCAATACATGACTTAGGCCCTTTAATTTGCTGCATGCAGCAGAATAAAATCTTATTTAACATCTCTGAAATCCTGACATGAAAAACTTGGTCTGGCTTAATCTACCTTAGAAACTCGTTCTTGAAAACAAAGTTTGTTCCCCATTAAAATAAAGACGGTGTAAATGATTTGTTTGGATTAAAACTAGACACAAAATAAAGAAACCAAGGATGGGTTGGAAAAGATAAAAATAACAAAAACTGCACATAAAAGCCCTCCTTTTTCACCAAATTCAGGCCTGTAAATTAATCAGATTCAAGTCTATACTTTAAGACTATGGTGACTGAATACTTAAGACTGGTATGTATAAAAGTATACAGAGAGTTTGTCTTCAGAAAGTATTAAAATGGTGGTAATTAAAAAGGACTTTTCAGTATTGGGAAGTAGATTAATGAGGAGCATTTCAGAAACAATCAGCACTTCCAGAGTGCTTTACACACTTTACCTGGAAGGAGAATTAGATTTATTCTATTTGGTGTTTTGCTGCTTTATACAGAATTAATTACTGAGGAAAAAACAAAACAAAAGTACTGATGAGGCATCATAGAAAAGTGAGGAGTTTGAGATGAAGTTGAATTCTAGAAGACACAAAATCTTATATATAAATGTTCTTATAGAAACTTAAATTAAGTATGCACTAATTCCATGGAACAAATAGACCAATGTTTACAATGATGTCAACTGTACAAAAAAAAAAAAAAAAGATAAGAGGCGAAAGAAAATGTAAAGTGACAGCGCTGTAATCATTCTTCTTTTTGTTTTAACATGGCAGTAAAATCCAATGTTTTGTTTGTTCTTTCTATGGATCTAGAAAAAGGAAAAGGTCAACCTTCTGATGGTGCACATTAGATTTTCGGCTGATCAAATAAAAGATAAACGTGGGTGAATTTTATAATTGAATAACTGATATAGTATATCTTTTAAATTGAGTTTTATTCAAAGGCATATCAGTCCCAGAACCTGGAAGGTTGGTATACATTTGTTTAACTTCAGAGATGCAGCTGGAGACAGCTCTGTATCTTTGTTTTACTGTAAACATTTTATTGCCCCCTGCTCTATCATCAAGGAATCAAAGTATTTTGTTGGTATTTATATTTTTTTTAAATAAAAAAAACTTAAACTGCTGAAGTCCAGAGATTGGCCCTGCCCTGTTATAAATTCCTCCCTCTTCCAAACACATTATTCTATCAGTTACATCTACTTGTCAGTACAACACTACGTTTAACAGGACTTTTCTAACATCTCAGCTCCACACAGAGACAGATATTAAACATTTAGGACGCTGGCCCCCATGCATTACACACAGAGAACTGAAATGCTCTAATCCTATTTTGAGTGATAAAATGAGTGAAATTCCCTGAACTAACGAGAAGAATTTTTTTTATTTCTCACCTCAATAAAAGTATCAATGTTGTCCATCAGAGCCTGAGCTCGCCCAATGATGAACTGGTTCACACAAGCAATAGCATGGGACCTGAAGAGAAACAAGATCAGGAGCTCATGAACAGGACTGAATAATTGGAAGGGGGCGGCATCATGACAGAAAAACATCAGGGATTAACAAACCTGATCTTAGGGCTGCAGTGTTTAAAGAACTGGAGAAATTTAGGGATCATGATGTTGAGGGGTCTGTTTAGAGCGTCGCTGTCCAACAGCTCAGAGGAATCCTCACAGATCTTCTGGAGTGCTCCAAAAGAGCCCTAAGAGAAGAAATCAGAAAGCTACAAATAAAGGAACAGTTTTAGACTGCATTTTAATGTCAGATAACTGAGTGGAGGTCGTACCTCGCAAGTGTTATAGTCCTCAGAGTTTAGCAAATTACAAAGTTGAGGCAAGAGTTCTGGCCAAGTTTGCAGCTCTCCTTTAGAAGCTATAGTTGTGATCAAAATCCCTACATGACAGAAAGAACGTTCATAAAACTTTAAGTTAGTTTAGAAGTTACCTATTTAACAAAACTTAGTCCACGTTAGTCTGTAAAACACTGTTTTGAGCACCTACACACATACTTTTGGTGCAGAAAGTTTGCCTGCTACATTGTAGAATGACTCGCAGTCACTACAACCTAAATGTTGGCTGTATTTTAGAATCTCCCCCCAAACTTTCTGCCATGCCCTCACCAATTGTAGCTCTAATAAGCGGCGAAGGATCTCCAATGTTGTTGAGGCATTCCCGCTTGATGAAGTCAGCCACGTTGGGGGGGAAATTCTGATAGTGAGCTTTCACATTATTCTTCAAAATCAGACCACTGAGAGACCGAGTGGGTTCATCTTCAGAGAGAGACAGAAAGAGGGCATGAAACAGCATTTTTACATGTGGGGAAACACAATAGCAGATATAGAACTGAAATAATAGCCTAATATCAACAAAGCTCATAAGACAAATCTGTAATATTCACAATATAATGCTGGAATGTATGTTTTTCAAACACAAACATACCCTCAGACTTGAGGCTTGTGAGGACAAAGATGAGATAGTTGTTGAAGTCAGGAAACTGGTTAAGTTGCTCCAGTTTCTAGGTCATCTGTTAAGGAGTTCAAACATCCCTGCTTGGCGCAAACATATGTTAAGTCTCATCTGACTTAATTTGTTTGGTATGCATGCATCTCCCACATATGCTAAAAAATCTAGTCCAGGGCTTTGGTTGGGGAAAAGTTGGGATCCATAACAAGGCCAATAAAGAGACAGTGGACAAATACAGATGTGTACACACCAGTATTTCCCAGAGTCCCACTTTTAGGGGTCTCTGTCCTTCAAGCCTAATACAAAACACGTGTAATTTTGTTTTTGTTCTCGTAACCATGGGTGGACAGGTAGAAATCTTCCATCGTTTCCCATACTAATCCAGGCCCCAGAAAAGTGTTAATCAAATCCCATACATTTATAGACAGCTTAAGAACCCGGGGCCTTTTGACAAAGTAGGAGTACTCACAGATAACAACCCCATATGCAGACGGAACATGTAAAATCCACAATGAAAAGCTGCAGCTTGGATTTGCACCACAAGACCTTCTTAGGATGCAACAGTTTAAACTGTCATGCATCCTTAATTAGGGTTTAGGCAGAACCAATTAAAACATGGACTCAGCTCAGCAGCCATGGGTAAACAAGGATCTCCTTTATGCTTCAACACAGACTGAAAGGTAAGGATACTTCTTGCACAGCTCTCTGAGTGGCCGTGTCTGGGGACTGGGAATCTTTGAGCAGCTGAAGCACTTGCTGCAGACCCTGTTCGTCTGGCTGCCACTCCATCCTGTGAAGATAACACATTGATGAGCTGCTAGAAAGGCATCCGACAAACGCCGATAAGTGCTCTGTCACACCTGCACGTACAAAACAAGCAAGCCGTACAGCTACGACAGAGGGGTATCCATTATACTATATATTCAGAACAGAACCTGGCTTTAGGATTCCGGAAAAAAAGATGTTTTAAATGCTAAAAATGATTGGTGGAAAAAAAAAACGGTTATGTGATACCACTGGTTAGAAAAATGTCCTACTTCCATGGTTAATAATCCCTTGATAATAGAAGTAAACGATTACCTTTGCTGAATTTGGATCGGTGTGTCTTAATAAGTTACGATCTAGGAAAGCCTCTTTGAGGCCCAGACGGCGCAAATGTCTCTTAGACTTTTAGCTAGCTAGTTAGCTAGCTTAGCGTCAACACTGCGTATTCGAGGTTTTTAAACAGACACTGAGCGTAAATTACTGATTTCACGTCGCGCTGCAGTAAATCCGAGCGTATACTCAACGCCACTGAGAGACCGCTTTTGTTTTTGTACTCATAACAAACCAGACGGACATTAACTGAAAGCTACATCAAGTAGCATATTAGCTAGCAGTATGAAAGTAGCGCGAAAGGTTTTACCTGGTTCCTCCGGTGTGCTGGGTCTATAATTAAACAGAAAAAGGTGTAGCGAGGCTGTAAAAGACTAACATTAAAGGAAACGTCTAAACTGAAAAAAATGTTGTAGCCTCTGAAGGTCTGTTTGCTACGCTAGCTTGTGTGTGACAGAGATTGCATGCTTTGCGATCAAGCCGGGTGACCTGTTTAGTTCTCGCCGGCTTCCGTAGTGAAAACAGAAATCAGCCAGGTGATTGCGCAGACAGGTGTGCTTAGAAATAGTTTGTTTGTAATCATGAATACAACAAATATTTTTTTTAATATATTTATATGTGTATGTTTGTATTTTCCAGACTAACATGTTTGTTTAATTTGGTGAACGCTAAACATGACTTGTTTTTGCGTTTTGTTTTCCACCACCAGATGGCGCAAGTTTCAGGATTAGTGTAATTCTGATTGATTCTTATTAATTCATGCAGATGCAACAGGTATATTTAGTCCATATATATATGGTATATATATATATATATATATATATATATATATATATATATATATATATATATATATATATATATATATATATACATATATATATATATATTTGCTTTACAATTATAAAGTTAAAATGGAACTCTTGTGAAGAGTAAATGATCACATTGATCATGCAGTTTTTTTTTACCTGCTTATAAAAAATTTTGCCAAAGTTTCATACAAGCATATATTATATGTTACTTTAAAAGAACCTATATTGTTATTATTTTTTCTAATTTAATATTTTGTGTCTTTGACACCAGTGTACTTTATACTATATTCTTTAACAATCCCCAATCCAATAATTGAATTTCTCTCTAAAAAAAAAACAAAAAAAATTATTATCATAAGAAACACAAGTTTCGAGTTAATGGGAAAAAAATCTTTATTTCATAATAACTGACTCAAAACAATGCATTTATAATATATCATATTTATCATGTTTGTGACTCAGTGCTCTTCAAAGTCATCACTCCTTCCTTTATTTTGAAATCCTTGACAACATGGATGGTGAACAAAGAGTTTGTTTAAGTGGAATTGTATTTAAATGCACAAAATAATATTATTTGCACAGGAACAGACTAAAAATCTAACTTTATTGTGTATTTTCATCTTTGACAGTCTCAGTAACACATTTTGTGATAGATGTAAAAATCAAAGAGTTTAATGTGAAGTTTTAAAAAATTCTTCATGCCAGCCAGTGAGGGGGATAACAATGTTTATTCAACAAAGAGAGCTGATCTCACTTCTGCCACAGCCCCACTTGCAGCAGATGTTGGACAGTCCAACCTCTACTTCTTGTTCGTTGCTGTTTGTGCCCTGTAGAGCCTCTGGTATCTCGTCAATGAGCGGTGAGCGAGCTGAGCGGCTGATGCTGGCAGCATTCAACACTTGATCTTTCCATGCTTGGGAATTAGGATGATCCTGCTCAGATGGTTGGGGGATTGAATTTGTCCTCCATGGATCAAGAATCTTCTCACCAATAAGAGCTGATTAGAGGGAGAACATGTGTCATAATTCTGATTTGACCTCTGTGAAGACATGGAACTTTTAAATGAAATGTTTTGATTTTTCATAGGAGAGTGTATTTTTTTCTGCTTTTTTATGTGCAAACGTTAACATGTCTTTCCTGAAATCTTCTTATTGAAGTTATTCTGTCAGCTACAGGATGGAGAAGTAAGTAGGTTGTGACAGATGTTGTAACAGGGCTCTAACTTCAGTAAGTTTTATGAACTGGGGGTAACATGTAGCCCAGGAGCATCCAAGATTTACGAAATCTCTAAACTCTTAATTGATTTAAGCAATTGCTTTTGCATGAATACTATACATTTTCACGATGCTTGCATTGGGTTGGTATTTATAAAGGAGCTCAACACATGGAAGTGGTGGATCCCTATTATGTTCTTAATGGGATTTATAATAACTGTCATAAAGGGGAGCAAAGAAACAAGGAAAATATTCAACCGAGAGTGGCAGGAGGAGCTGAGCGGCTGACACAAGCTGCAATCATCACTTGATTTTTCCATGCTTGGGAATTAGTAGGATCGTTAAGTTTTATTTGGTTTACATACCGCTGGGATTAACTATTTATTTAGTCTATGTTTCACACAGAAAGCACAGGCACTGCCTGATGCATTTGATCTAAGTTATACAGGTTAACTGTAAGCTGTGTCTAAAGTTTTCAGACCATTTTTTCTTTTCAAGGAACTCATTGGAGATACACAGATCACGTTTTCCTATTTTTGGTACTGAAAGATATGAAAAATAATGGTTTTAGTGCATCCATTGATTAGAAAATCCGAATCAGACTTTTCATTTCAGACCATCACCAATCAGAGAAATCAAGGGGGGGAAAGTGTCAAATTTTAATCCATTTCAAAATAAGGATATTAGATTCTATTCTCTATCCCCCTCTATAAAATAAATGGATCAAAGAGCTCCATCATTCTATGTGCAATAACTCATCATCCTTTTAAATCTTTAGCACTGTGTTTTTCTTTTGTTGTTGCTTTAATTCATGTTTAGTTTATCTGTGTATTTCTTACACCTGTCTTTACCTTGCCTTTAAGATTAATTTTCATTTTTTATTCTTTCTCTTTCTTCCACAGTGCCACCTGCAATACACCTTCCTCTGTGTCTTTTTTATTTTCTATTTCTTTTGTTCTTGTACAGCACTTTAATTGGTCTTGCTGCTAAAATGTGATATAAATAAACTTAGACTGCCTCTGCTAATTTTAAACAAATTTTGTAATTTCTTGTGATTTTCGCTAGTTTTTTTTATTTACAACGAAAATGAAAAAAATGCCTGTTAGGTACAGTAAAAGACATCAGACATTTAACGATAAGAACAACCCTATATTTAGGGTAATTTTATTTTTTTATCATCTTACCTGTGTCTTCCACTCTTCTTCTCCAGCGAGAACTGCCACATGTAAAGATGACGGCGCGTATAAATTCTCTTCCACACAGTTTTTCTCCATAGAAAGAAGAATGACCATCAGTACCCTGAGCAAGGTGTACAATTGCAATGAATAAGCCTAATATCAACAGCACTGCTTTCATCATGCTGACAGAGTGAGTCTATCTGTTGGTGAAATTTTTTGAATGCTCTCATCACTTTATAAAGGCTTGGACCCCAGCTAACTTTCACTTATCAGCATCCTCAGAGATAAAAATGGAGACCTTTAGGCATAACAATACTGGAAGGAAAAATAACTGATGTTAACAGAACTCTTGCCAATCTAATCACCCATGACCTTTAGTTGGCCTTTCAGTCCATCACATCTCTCAGGTTGTGCTGTTTGTCATCATCTCTGTTTCTTTTTGGTATCTGTTCCACTGTGCATTGAAAGGAGTTCACATTCTATCCCAAGACCATACGTCACATGTAACACAGCCCTCATCACTGGTAAACAACTTCAAAATTATGCTCTATCGCTGTTATTGTATTGTTCAGAAATATGGGAATGGCTTCATGATTGGGTGAAAACACATTCACACATTATTATCTATAGTGTATTTCAATTGGATTTTAATGTGAGAGACCTTGTGTTATAGACTATCACAAAGTAGGGCACAACTGAGAAAAAAGAGATTTTGTTTTTTCTGGGCACATTCTGAAAAGTGTGGGATGTAATCAAAAGTTGGATTGGGTCCAAAAAATGACCTGGCTATTTGTGGTTGAGGCGGTCCACCATATTTAGTTATATTTTATGCTGAGAAACGTAGCATACCAGGGGACATATTCACACATTTACTGGTTTAAAAAAGAATTATATTGTGAACGAAATGAATCATGCGTTACATCATTGTGATTTGTATACAAAAGCTGATTGGCCTCCTTTAAGTATTTGGAGAAACAATCATTTGATGATCCTAATATATAAATCTCTCCTTGCACTAACACCAACATACATGTTCCTCGTGTTCGAACTGATAAAGGAAAGAAAGCATTCAGTGTGTTGGCTCCTACAGCCTGGAATCAGCTCCAATCTGAGCTCAAGATGTCAGACACTATTTCATTGGACTTATTTCGAGCGGTTCTTAAAGATAGACAACAAGCTTCTATGAAACAGTGCCACTGCTTTTAAATTGTTTTTATTGTTTTATATTTTGTGCATACGTAGTAATTGATTTTTTTTGTAACCAGGTTGCAGTGTATTGCAGATCTCTGCCCAGGTCCCCCTTGAAAATGAGATCTCAACGGGGTTTACCTGGTTAAAAAAAGGAAATTAAAAAAATAAATAAAAAAGTGTATGAATACTATCTGTCAGAGGTGAGGTACAACTTTCTGTGATAAGATTATACAGAAATATATTAAAATATAATATAATATAATATATTAAATGACTAATATTAAAAACATTTTTGATAACCGTATGACAATCTTGGGTTGCACCAGAAAAGGGCGTCAGCCCATCGGACATATTCCTTGCATACCCTATGGCCAGTCTAGGCCATTGGGTATGCAAGGAATATGTCCGATTGGCTTTATAGTCCAGCTCATTCAGTCAATAATTTGTAGAACCACATTTTTCCATTATTAAAGTTTCAAATCCTTCTAATGTGTGTCTCTGTAATACTTTACATATCTTATGTTTTGCTATTGTTCTTTGCCGTATAGTTTTGGCTCAATCAGATGGGTGGGATGCTCAATTTTCATGCCTTGGCCCATTACTCTCCTCTGGACAGAGGTCTGGACTTGGACTTGGTCTGTGACTTGTTTATCCTTATACATAATTATGGTTTGATCTAGGGTGTTTTGTCGGAATGCGAACATCTGGTGTGAAGTCTCTAACAGGTTTTTCTCCGGGGTTTCATTGCATTGTATCCCCACAAATCAATCTTTGAACTCTGACTAGCTCTGGTTTTCAAAACTTATTTCAGCAGGATGATTTTGTTACCTGAAATGTTTCTCACTGCCGATGTAGCGTAAAGAGCGGAAGAGCAGTGGGGTTTTCGTCCTGTATGTGGAACACTGAAACAGCTCTACACCCTCAGCAGAACCCATGAGGGTGCATGAAAGTTTGCCCAATCAGTATACATGTGCTTTGTGGACTTTGAAAAGGCGTTCCACCAAGTCCCTTGGTCCATCCTGTAGGGGGTACTCTAAGGGTATGGGGTACCAGGCCCCAAGGACTTCTAGGTCCCTGTATGACCGGTGTCAGAGATTGATCCAACTCGTTTGTGGTAAGATTTTTTTTTTCAATGTTGTCTTTCATAACATTTATGGAGGCAGCAAAGTTGTTAAGTGGAACCGTTTTGGTTGCCTTACTTATGTCTCTGCTTTCTGCAGGTGATGCGGTCCTGTTGGCTTCATCATGTCAGGATCTACAGTTCTCCCTGCAGCGGTTTACATCCAAGTGTGAAGTGGCTGGGATGAAGAGCAGTGTCACCAGACCAGGGTCTCTAGCGGGAAAAGGGTAGAGTGCCCTCTCCTGGTCGAGAAAGATGTGCTGACCCATGTGGAGCAGCCTATGTATCTCTGGCAGAGGTGGAGCCATAAAATCCTAATAGGGTGGCCGAAAGGCACCAGAACCACGGGGTCAATCTACACTGTTCCAACAGGAATGAGCAAAACATCCATATTTTCTAAATAAAGAGAAACTATACTTTCCTGCAGCCTTTGCAAACAAATAGACGCATATATTTAAACATCTATGCTGTGTAAATAAAAGGTACAGAGGACAAAATTCTTTCATGTTTGAGTCCTGCGGCGAAAACATTTTACATTGCCATTACCTACTTTTATCAGTAATCATTCTGAAAAAAATGGTATTTAAATCTACTACTTTCCACATTTAATGAATTTTTATGTTATTATTAAAGTAATTATTTATCTATGATTTCACTGAAGACTCCTCGATGACTTGCAGAGGCACATAATTTTATCTTTACCTCAAATAATTCAAAATTTTGTTCTGAAAAGAGCATGAATTCTCTATCTATCATCTTTAATGTTTGTATATTGATGTGCATAATTAACCACAGTGTTTCTGTTGCCAAGTAGCTATTAATATATGAAAAAAATAAATGTTTCATAAGTTTTAACATTCCCCTTCAGAGTATTAATACGGCTACCATCTGTATTAGAGGGAAAAAAATGGTAGGGGTGGCCACCTCTGCCCCCCCTTCTAGCTCTGCCCCTGATCTCTGGGTCTTGTTTATGACAGGAAAAAAATGCAGCTGTAAAAATCGATTAGCAAAATAATTGATGCTGCTTCTGCAGCCTATCATGGTGAGTAGAGAGCTGAGTCAAAAGACAAAGCTCCTGATTTAACGGTCAATCTATATTCCTACCCTGATCTATGGTAAGGAGGTTTGAGTCCTGAACGAAAGAATGAGATCATGCATACAAGTGGTGGAAATTATTTTAATCCGCAGGGTGTGTGGGCCCTCACTTGAAGATAGGGTGAGAAGCCTGGCTATTTGGGAGATTGCTTTTCCATGTGAGGAAGATCCAGCTGAGCTTGCCTGGGCATCTGTTTAAGATGCATGTAAATAAGAGGCATGTACCACCAGAAGAAGACCCAGGATGTGCTGGAGGGACTATGTTTGTCAGCTGGCCTAGGAACACCTTGGGATTCCCTTGAAGGAGTAAGGGGAGTGACTGGGGAAAGGGAAGTCTGTTCCTCCCTACTTAGTCAGCCATTCCTGAAACCCAACCCTGGATAAGCGGAAGATGGATGGATTATTTGCGTTACTATAATTCAGCCATAATGTTTTGTATGCAGACTTCCATCTTGGTCTGATCTGACAAGATCCCCTTCTTTTTATTTTCAAACTATAATACTTTTATAATTTCACATTATCTACCTGATGCAAATATATCAACCATTAGAAAAACAGACTTCAAATTAATTAAAGATGACATCATAAAGACAAATTTAGGGGGTATGAATATTTCAGCAAGGCACTGTACCTCAGATCCTGGTTCCTTATGTGTTTCACAAAGCAATAAAGCTCATTTTAAATGGAAACAGCATACAAGTAAGATAAAAACTGGTTTAGTATAATTAACTAGGGCAGCAGACACCTCCCTGCTCAGCACCAAATGGTTTCTGAATTATGGCGAGTGACCTAAACAAACTGTCTTTTACAAATTGTAACATGATTTTACTCTGGCTTATTACTGGGCTTTAATATAATTTGTGTAAATGTGCTGAGAGAAGAATGTCTTATATCGTTCAATATTGCAACAGAATTGTGAAAATGTGATTATTCATGCATTAAATAATGCCAAGTAACAACTTGGAACCAACCCTGATTGATAAAACGATATAATTATCAACTACGTTTAATCATTTCCAAGTTAACAAGTGGAAGGTCTGTGCAATTTGCAATAAAGTCAATTTACAGCCCCACAAGTGGTGCTTTTGGATTAGGCCTCGGCGAAAGTTACAGACATGAACTTCCCACCAATCAACAACCGAATATTTTACTGACGTCACAACCACTTCACCCATAAGCCAATCAGCTTTTAAAGAGGGGCGGTATAATATACAGAGGGTAGCAACAGTTGCCCCGGTGAAGGCTAGGCGCCATAGTCACGGTAGTCCTGGCGACAAGAGCCAAGCAACGGGAGTCAACAACAACAAGCGGGATCAAAGGGAATAAACTTTACCGACTGTTCGGGACAACACCGCGAAATACAGGTGAAAATATCTAAAAAGCGATAAATTAACTTAAGTGTTGATTACATGTGTTTGCGTGTGTGTTTTACGAGGAAACGTGAAATCGGTCGAACGTGTCGAGAGATGAAAAGTGGTTGCTAGCTTCTTTCCAAACGCAGACCGTTGTTATGGCGATGTCAGATATTTGATAAGAGCACAAGATGGCGGCTGGCTTCTAGTCCCAATCGTACTTTTTTTCTTAGCACCATCCGTCCTAATGTCCGTGTGTGTTTTTTTTTTTTTTTTTGACAATTTAGACTGCAACGAAATTGCAACGACACGTGATTGGTTAGCATGGTTGTCTGTGCGATTATATAGGAAGCCAGTAGTTAGCTAGGTTCCACTAACGTCATGAATCAACACAGGCTCGCTTGCGAGAAAGGCTACGTATCACTCTCGCTCTTCAAGCGGCTGTCCAGCTGCGTTAATCTTCAACGGAAGTCCATTGCTCACCCAATTTCGAGAGTGTACGGGTTCGGAAAACGAGAGAGGCGCGTGTTTAACTATCTTTTTACGACTTTAAAAAAGTTTTTGGTGTGACATTGAGTTCTTGAAGTCACTCGAGAGCGCACGGTGTGCCACATGATCAACGGATTGTAGGGAGTGGAGAGTATGGCAGGCCGTTTGTCAAATAATTCTTCTGATGCATACATACCGATAAAATCAAAGATCTTTATTTTAATAAATATATTTTCAGGGTTAAGCTACTTGCATTTTTTTTTTTTTTTAGATATTAAGGGCACATCTGAGGCTCCAGTGATTTATGAACTAGATTACAGTGGTAACTATATAAAGTTTTCAAACTCTAGTCGATCTCCTTGCAAATTATGTGTTAGTCAGAGTACAGATATTTTCTTCAGTTATTATTTTATCCACCACAAAGGTTAATTCTTTAAATGACAAAAGATGTCATACCTCCCATTTCTTTGTTTTGAATTAAACGCCCACAGATATAATTTACAGAGTTAAAAAATGTAGAGATGGTTAATTAAAGGCAAACTATCATGGATGGGGAACATAATGTAAACATGTTTTCAAATATTTTTTACTGTCATGCAGATATATGCCTAAAAAGAAAAGTGTATTTTAAGACTACTTCTCTAAAGTAGTAATGTCTTTCCCTAATGGTAATTTACAAAAGTAGAAAAACACACATTTCCCACTTTAAGATATTTTACCACAGCATTTAAAGGAAGATTACACAATAATATCATGCTCATCCTTTGCCACATTTTATTTATCTTAATGAAACAAATCAAAACTAAAAAAATTATCATTTAAGTTATACATTTGCTCACAAGATAAAATGAGACACAAGCCCCTCTGCAGAGCTAAAAGATCATATTACGGCGGCTCATGGAAGATGTAAAGCGGCAGAGGACCTATGCATTTGTATTTGCACTATACTATATCACTAAGGCCTGTATACAGTTTTCATCTGGCCACAGATAATGTTTAACGTTACTTGGTATTGTTTTGATTTATGTTACAGTCCATAACTGACTGCATTCTCTCGTCATCATATCCAACTCTCTGTATTCTAGTATGTATATTACTTGAACTAAAGTTTTGCAACCTATTGAAATGTGTAAGCCCACATAACTATTTCATAGCCTTCTCTATATTTTGTCAGGTTTATTATAAATGTGCTTGCCATACTTGGCCTTTGGCCAAGTAGGATGGCCCAAAGAACAGCCTGACAGTTTAAGTTATTAGCATGAGTTTAAATCTGGGTTATGCTGTATTCATAACATGTTTCTTTCCTATTAAAGTGCATGTTGTTTTAGTTCATCTAAGATATTGTTCATGTTATGTAGAAAAGGCCATTTACTAATAATGTTCCTATTTAATCCTTCTCACATATCAGACCAAAACAGGAAAAGGCATTACTTTACAAAAGTAATGCCTTAGACAAAAGTCCACTTCCTTTCCTGGTTTATATTGCATGTGAACACACACCCGCACGCCCACACACAAGTGTGCAATTCAATCCATATTAAGACTTCACATTGACTTTAGTTACTGTATTTATGCCTAACCTTGACCATTATCAGTACTCTAAAGTAAAAAAATGGGGACCCGCCACATTAGGAACAGCCTTTAGTCCCAATAAGAGAGTCCTAAATAGGTAACACAAACAAGTACTCACACACAAACACACCCTCGTCTTGCGTTACATACTGAGAATCACATATTCTTCCATCAATTTTCAGGCATTTCCAACCCTTTCTGTGCCCAAACTTACTTCAACTTAAACTCGCTGCACACTTTTTCTAAGCCTAACTTTTTAATCATTTGAAAGTGGAGACTAGAAAAATCACCTTGGTACAAACAGTTCTCAGTTTGATTGTTTAATCGGGGAAAATGGACCTCACTCTGATTCCAAAACAGGAACACCCACACAGATGGTTCCACACAAGGTCCACTTATGTAAAACATTAAGAGTACAGATAATAAAATAATTAAGCAATCTGTATTTCAGAGTATGTTTCTGACGCTTTATTTAACGAGCACTGCATCCTTTTTATCCACAGAACTGGTGCCTTAAATGATCGGTTGCCATGGCGACTTGTGGATACTCTGAGGACCTTCAGGCTCAGCAGGCTAACACAGTAACCATAGCAACACCTGCTACCACCACACCCTCATCTGCCAAGACTGCACACTTCCTGTCGGAGATCCCGGCAGCCTCTGGAAGCATCTCATCGGCCAGCCAAGCAGCCGTGGCCTCTAAAACTGGACAGGATGCACTTTGTTCACAAGTGCCACCCACCCAGAGCCAGAAGGCAGTGGTGCCAGCTACGTCCACACAGCACTACATGGGTCAGGACATCCAGAAGAGCAATGGACAGAGCACTTCGTCCCAGTACATTATAGTGACTGTTACAGGTGAGAGGATGGGGAGTAACCTGGAGAAGACGGATGTTTAATTACGTCACACAAACTAAGCAGCACATTCATTTCTATGCTCCCTGTTCTGTTTGACCCTTAGGTAAACCCAGTCTGTTTATTTAACGTCAGTTGGTTGATTGTTTGATCAGCATGAAGTATTAGGCTCTTATTCATAAATCAGAAACTAGACCTCTTCTTTCATTTAGTTTTCTATTGTAGATAAATGCACCTCATTCCCTTTACATGACTTTTGGAAGTTGCTTTAAAAGAAAACGCTTGTATCAGGGGGGGGGGGGGGGGGAATGGCACACAATATATGTGGTATATATATATATATATAGATAGATAGATAGATTAATAATCAGATAGTCAAAGGTTCCTTAAAGAAGACTTTTTGCAAAATTAAACCAGGTGAAACTCAAACTTTTCCACTTGAGGAGTTCTGGATAGAGCATATTGACAGATGAAATACACATTTTCATCTTAAATGCAAAATGTGTATATATATATATTTTTTTTTTACAATCTTTGTATAATTACTGCTCTGACTGGGTCACTCTGTCAACTAAAGGCATGTTTTAGAGTCTCTTTACTCCAGTTAATGATTTGTCGATTACTAATTATGTGACATTTATTTCAATAATCGATTAATCCGGTTGATTGTTCCAGCTCTTATCTCACTAAAGGTTTTAATCAATTTGGTCTGATCAAAAACAAATTCCATTCCAGAAAAGAGGTGTTTTTCTTTCTATTCCCCATTCCAGTTGGAGTAAATGTACGCACCCATTCGGATATTTGCTATACATAATCTTCACTCTTTAGGACCATTGCTATGATGGCTTCAGAGATCAAACTTCATCCATTGGTCTGGAGAACTGCTAATCCGCCATCTTTGCTTTTGCTGGCCTTAAAATTCCTTTTGTTTTTGTATTCTCAGAAATCCCAACACAAAGACTGTGGTGTTGTGGATACGATTCTGCAGCCATGTTTCAGTGAGGTAGATAATACTGATACTGCATACCCTATATTCTGGCTAGGTCGCTCCATTTAAACTCCCCTGGGAGCTGGGGATGTATTTGAAATATTATTTCATGTTTTTAAATTTATCAGCCGCTCCTGGCTGTAGAAATAGACAAAAAATATTAAGCGAACAAAAAAACTGGTTGCTTTAGTCATGTTTAATAACCAGTGTCCTAAAAATCCTTCCAGTTGCACAACATCCTCCACCAGAGAAGAAAAACATATATTAAAGTTTGACAAACAGAGGAATTGAAGTTATGATAAAGAAAGCATATCAAAATCAAAGTATCGAGCTACTCTGACATGCAGCCACCTTTAGCACTGCAATTCTAGTAAGAGAAGCTTAAGATGAGTTTGGCTGTTTTTAAATTTTTTTCTTTATACCATTAACCAGCATGTGTGTACATAGTTATCATCTTTAATAGATTCCTAACCTTTTTGATATGTGCAAACTCCACAAAAATGGATCTCCATAACCGGGTCCGATTTGTCCTACATGTTAAATTTAGGCCCCATCTATTCCTAGATGGCTTTTTCTGCTTGTATCAGGTAACACTGCACTTTCACCCAGACTCAGAAGCCCACAGGGCTGGGTCAGGTTCCATTTTCCTCACTTAAAACAAGCAGTTGCTACAAATGGATCAGCCAGCAATGTATAAGATTATTTTTTATTTTCTTTCTATCTTTATTTTTTTTTTAATGGCTGATGTTAGTTTAGTTATTTGCTAGTATCTTTGCAGTCTAATACATGCATGCATTTGCCAATTCATCAATTCATTGGTGTATTCAGTAGCCATGCGTTTTTATCATGTGATGTTATGTGTTGCTGCACCTCCATTTGCAATCCATTCTAAGTGTTTTCTTTAAAATGTTGATAAAGTTGAAATTGTTAATTTATTTATTGGCTTTAAATAAGACTTGTGGGAAATTTGTTATCATGCAAAATTGGAGGGAGTGTCAGGATTGGTTCTTCTAACCCATAATGCAGACTGATACTGGAAACTTATTGGGAGTTATTTTAGATTTCACAAATTGACTGAGGGCAAGATGAATAGTGGCATAATGAATAAAAGTAGAAGAGAAAACATGTGCAAATGGTAGAACCAATGTACAGGTGATGAGAATTGACTGATTTCTAGAAGGTTGTGGATGATGGAGAACTTTATCTTACTGAGATAAACACTGGGAGGAATAAACTGAAACAATAAAATTAATAAAATAATGAGTTTTGCCAAACCCGCTAAACACACTGAAAAATATGTAAGGTAACAGAACTAGAAAACAACTGGCAAGGGATAAGCAAACCAATGTGGGAAAACCGCGATGGCAAAATTAATAGAAAACTAAAAACAGGGCTAAAGAAAAAACAAAACACAAATTTCTTAAAGTGGAAAGAAGAGCGCGCTAACATAGAACAATGTAATCAAAAGAACCATGACAGGAGAGATTGCACATAGGTTGAACTGATTATCATTGCCCCCTAATGTATCACATTTGCTGGTCCTCACTTTGTTTTTGATAAATGTTGAGTTTAGGACTAGTGTGTGAACTGACTTTAGGTAAAGATCAGAGTTAGGTATGCACTGTTTTTTTTTTTGTCTGAAAGTCAATGGGAGTCAACACATAGTCCTCACTATATATGGGTGTGTGTTTGTGTAGGGAGTACATTATTACTTGTTTTTCTTTATTATATTAACGTCAATGCTATTTGAGTTTCAACAAGTACTGACGGAAACATCATTCCAGATTGTCAGCATGGTTCAGTGAGTCTTATCACGCTGCATGACTTTAGGAAACCAGGCATTTGCCATTAATAGCTAGCCTAAAAATGCAAAGATATGTTATGGGCTTTAGCATCACAGCTAACCTTTTCCATAAGCTAAATCCTTGCCGTATTTGTGGGTTTTGAAACAAACGTGAATGTTCAGAAGAAGGGGACGCAGGTTAGGAAGTGCTCTGTTTTGTTCTAAAGGTTACAAAAAAGTGATTGCCCCTCTCCCCTGCCCGCTCTCCACCCTTTGTTTTCCCCTCTCCCTTCGTTCATCCCACATGTATCCCTCTCATTTCCCTCTCTCATCTGATCTGCATGTTTACAAGATAGAGGGATTTTTCTCTCCATCTGGGGAGATTAGCTGTTCAAGGCCGTGCTTTTGCATGTGAGATATAAGGATGAAAGGAGAGATGGACAGACACACTTTTCCTCTCCCATGCTTGCTTTTCGGAGGGCCCCAGGTTTTTATTTATTTATTTTTTTATTTCAATATGTTTTGCAGCAGCTGTTATTATGATATTGAGGCAGTTTTTCGTGAGTAATGAACTTTGCTGTGACTTCAATCTGTTTCTCCTATAATTCCTCCCTCCTAAATCACTCGTTTCTTTCTCAGAGGGCTCGGCTCAATCCAATGACAGTCTGTCAGACTCCAGCCCATCTGCTTCTAGCATCCCTACTCAGGTGGTCCAAGCTGTGCAGAGCCCACCACAGGTAGGAAGAAAACATGTTGTAACAAATTGATGTGATTATCCAGCAGCCTGCCTTAACGGATGGGTTTGGTAATGCCTCTCCCACAGAGGTCAGTGTTGCAGGCAGTGACGCATGGAACCAAAAGGATTCAGACAGGCCACATCAGCAGCCTGCAGCATATTAACCAGGAGGTAAGCAGACACTGCATAGTACACAGAGTGGTACATGCATGAGGTGCTTTCCTGCTAAATATGTAACGTCCTACTTTGCAAAGGAAAGTTTAAAAGGTCTAAAATTATTTGCTTTACGTTCAGTATTCAGAATTAGATTTTTATTTTAATTGCTTGTTTATCTAAGATTTTATTTTTTTTAATCTGAAATTAATTATTTTTGCAATCTTAATCCAAATAATGTGTACTGAAGCCAACAGGATTAATTTAGAACAAAGCTAAACGTTTCATCCTTTTAACAGACTCTGTGACTTCAGGGTTCTTGTTATTTTTTTCTTTGCTTTGATAAACTAGAAATGTTTTAACAATATCATTTTGTAAAGTAAATTATAATAAGCCAAACTAAACTTAAAACTAAATATGTCCCGAAAATATATGAATCCTAAACCCAAATTGCTGAAATTATGTTTATACAGAATAAAAATTTACTAAGCTGCTGCTCAGTTCCACATCTTACGTAATCTATGAAAAGTGCAGCTTATGTTTATCTAAATGATACCACATCTGTGTTTAATGCATTCTGCTGAAAGGATATATATTTTTTATGCCTCTGCTGCAATACTTTTGAAGATGCATATAATAGAAAAAAATTAGAATTTTTTATTTTTTTTTCTATCAATAATGGTCATAGATTACCCTAAACACTCCCAAACCTTACTAAAACCCCTCCTAGAAGAGTGGAAGCTGCTTTAGCTGCAAATGGAGGGTCCAGACTGAAATAATGACTATATACTAAAAACTCGACGTCACTTAACTTCATCTCTGTGAAGGTATAGGAACATTTGCCAGGTTGGTTTTGCTTGTCATAAGTCCAGTATTTGAGTATGTGTAATAATGTGTATATTTATATAGCGCAAATTCACAACACTTATCACGTCAGGACACTTTACAGAGACAGTTCAACCAGATCATACAGTCAGATTGGCTCAAAGTTTTCTAAGGAAAACCAGCTGATTCCATCGACTCATTGCCTCGAAGGCAATTCCTCACACCAAGCATGCTTGTAGCGACAGTGGAGAGAAAGAAACCTCAAGAGGCATGTCAGAGATTTCTAATGATGCTGCCACCTGTGGTCGAAACACAGAACTGCAGCACTGTTCTTATTGTTCTTGTAGCCTGCGCATGTACTTAATAAGGTTATTTTGTTTTAACTTTTTTTCACCTTACTTGGGGTTGCCAATGGTGTCTTAGCTGAATGCCAGTTGCTTCATAGTATCCACTAAATCAACCTTGAATATAACGGTTCACTACATGAATACTTAGGCTCTGTCCTAATTATTCAGGTTTATTCGGACACGGTGCAGTATGTGGACGGTGCAGACGATGCAGCTTTTACCACATCCGCCATGTATGTATTACAGAGACATATACTTACGTGCATCACAAAGACTGTAACGTTAAGTGTCACATAGTGGTACATTTTAGCATTGACATGTGTATTTTTTTTCCTTTCCTGCAGCCGTTCAAACAGCTTTCCTTTCTCCGAGTCTCCCCTCTATTCCCAGACCCCTCCCACATCCTCCTCTGCCTTCTACGAGACCCCGCCCACCTCTGAGTCAGACATCACTGTGGCTTCACAGTCGGTTTCCATGGCAACGGCAGGAGTTAATACAGGGTCTGCTGCTGCTGCCACAGGAGGAGGGGGGTATGTCCTCCAAGGAGGGTATATGTTAGGAGGAGGAGGTGCAGCAGCAACAGGTGGGGGAGGACAGAGTTACTCCAGCCCTAACTCTCGTGCCCCACCTGCTACTGTGAGTACAAGATGAAATAAGGCCCATTAACATTAAAGACCAGTCGATTTATCTACATGCTGTCCTTCCTCAGGTGCAGTGGTTATTGGAAAACTACGAAGGGGCAGAAGGGGTGAGTTTACCCCGCTGCACCCTCTACTACCACTACATCCTGCACTGCCAGGAGCAGAAGCTAGAGCCTGTTAATGCTGCATCCTTTGGTAAACTAATCAGGTCTGTCTTCATGGGCCTCCGCACCCGAAGACTAGGAACCAGGTAGGGACCTAAAAAAACACAACTAGTTGTACTGTGTTGAAGCGGTTATCTAGGGCGGAGAAATCATTTTTTCTTTTCACATCTCTCTATAGGGGGAACTCAAAGTACCACTACTATGGCCTGAGGATCAAATCCGGCTCCCCTCTGCTCCGACTCATGGATGAGCAGCAGCACATGGCCATGAGGCAGCAACCTTTCTCCCAGAAAAACAGGTGTCCACTCGTCTGAGATTGAGCAGTGTTGTATATCATGATCTAAAGAGCTAGAGGAGCTAAAATACATGCTGATATCCCTAATGCAAGTTATGACTTTGTCAGGTATCATAAACTAATCCGATTGGAATGAAACGAGAGATTTAAGGAATTGATTACAAAGATCTGCTTAAAGTGTTCCTCCTAATAAACTTCCCTATGAAACATCTCAATATTTCCTAATGAAGCCAGTTTATCATACTTTTACACAAAACACACCAGTAAAATAATCACTCTTTAGTTCCTATGTTTTGTGAAAATGTCTAAGACCATTAATACCATTTATTATTATTATTATAAAACTCCATTTTTTACTAAAAAGTTTAAAAACTTGTTCTTTGTGTCGGCCTATTTCCTGGAGGGTGCAACCTGACAATGAAAGGCTTAGCCTGGAGGGATGTATTGGTGAAACAACTGGCCTTAAGTCCTCCATTTTTGGAAAGGATGATGGAGGGAGATCAATCCAGGGAGAAAAAAACTAGCAGGCTAATGATTAGAAACTGGACTTGAAGAAACTAAACAGACACAAGACCTACAGTGGAAATATGTAGATTAATCATATTCATTTGTTGGGATGACCTAGTCAATCTTCAGGCCTAAATACACATTCTTGAGCAAACAATTTACACTACACAAAAGACTTGTTTTTATAGGCGATGTGACGGGTATGATTTTTGCCGAGTTCGGTGACACATCAACTGTGATAGACGTAAAACAATGGTTGATGTCATTGGGAAACGCCATCAACCTACACCAACCAAGTGTTGATTTGTCAAATCCAATAAATAACAAATAATTTTTCCGTGTTTTAGCTGCTAGTTTTTTAGTTTTACTCATTTTATGCAATATTGTTTGTGTTATTTCTGTGTTTTTCCCTCATTGTCTTGCTAGGATAAAGCCACTCCAGAAGATGCAGGGAATCGCCAATGGGACATCAGGCGGGGCGGGTCAGCAGCAAGTGGCGGCGCTTTCTGATATTTCAGCCCAGGTGCAGCAGTATCAGCAGTTCTTAGGTGAAAAAAACGTGAACTCTGTATTTTTATGGGTTTTTTGTTGTTCCCCCCCCCCCCCCCCCCCCCCAAAATTGGCTTGTTACTGTATTATATTATGCTGTAAGCCTGTTGGTTACACAACAGGCTACAGATGTTGTGGCATTTTGGTAATAATATTCTTTAATGTACATACCTATCATAAACAATTGTGTTTTTCAGAAGCAGCTAAGCCGTTGCCAGAATTTGTGAAAATTGATCAGCTGGATCAAGTCCTGCCAGATGGGATCCATGCTGAACACCTAAAGGCCTTTCAGGCTCTGTACAGGGAACACTGTGAGGTAGGAACCTTAATAAACGCGTCTGCTCAGTTAGAACTTTTCGATTGTTTCGATCTATTTTCACCTTAAAGTTCATAAACATTATTTTAACACATCCCCCTGGTGGTGTTTTAGGCTGTTCTGGATGTGATGATCAACCTTCAGTTTCCTCTGGTTGAGACGCTGTGGAAATCCTTCTGGAGGTTCAGCCAGAACAACGATGCTGAATCACTCAATCTGTAAGACTTTTAAACTGGGTCTCCATTAACCTTTTGGTTTTAATGTGCATTGCTGTGATGCTGAAATGTACTAATACAAAATAACGTTCTGAAAAGTGTGATGTGCCTTAATCTGATTACCCGTAAGAGAAATCCAATGTAACCACCTGATTTCAAAAGTAGCCAAAGGAATAAGTCTGCTGTGTTTTAATGTATTTAAATCTAAATCAATCCAATTAGATTTATCATAATTAAAGCCAGAAACACCCACAGCACTGAAAATATGTGAAAAAGAATTTAACATTTTATTTCATAATAATGTACGGCTTTTTATTGGTCTGCCACATAAAATCCCAGGAACATAAATCAAGTCTAAGCTTATAAAAAAACGTAGAAGTTTGAATCTGTTAACGCCATACTGACAGAACAGAGAAGATAAACACACTCATCTTTCGTGCGACTTTTTCCCTCCATCAGTCACAATGAGTCTGAGAAGCGGCTGCCCAGGTCCTGTTTGGTGGCTCTGTGCAAGTTTGAGCCGGTGCTGCGCTGGACGAGGGAGTGTGACAACCTGCTCTACCAGACTCTGGTTGAGATCCTCATCCCAGACGTGTTGAGACCCATTCCTAGTAAGTTGGTGAGCTGTTGTTAGAAAACATCTGTAGGCAAACGCCCCACTTTCAAGTAGTTATGGTGTACTAATGCTGCAGATGTTTGTATTTAAATTAAGAAGTTAGTCAATCTAATATTACTGGTTTGAAATAATTTGATAGTTTGGAATTGTTGTTTTAATAGCTGCCTGTGTGAGCTGCTCGTGTTAAGTTTTGTAATAAAATGTTACTATTTTGAGCAGTTATGATTCCTTTTTGATTTTGTTGTCTCAATAAACAAAAAACTCCTCCTTTCATTAGGTGCCTTAACTCAGGCCATCCGTAACTTTGCCAAGAGCCTGGAGAGCTGGCTGACAGGCGCCATGATGAACATCCCTGAGGAAATGGTTCGCATAAAGGTGTGAAGACTTTTCTACACTGATCGCACGCTGTTCACCGGGTTGTTGGTCCCAGTTTCCTGTTTAATTTTAGTCGTTTGTTAACATGTCTTTTATTTGTTTGAATGATTGGTAGAAAGATGCATGAGAAATTGATTTTCTTTGAACTGCCTTTATACTAAACACTTCATCTGTTAGAGTGGTCTAGTCAAAGCGCGGGCCTACACCAGACTGAGAAGGGCAATCTGACACTCTTTCAGTGCTCAGTCATGCTTACAGCTCATCAGTAAAATAAACTCCAAATGCGTTTATGCTGCATTGTTCTCCCTCCGCCCTCTTTCAGGTGGTGTGCGTAGGCTCGTTCTCGCAGACATTACGCCGTTACACCAGCCTGAACCATCTGGCTCAGGCGGCTCGCGCTGTCCTGCAGAACTCGGCTCAGATCAACCAAATGCTGTCTGACCTCAATCGTGTTGATTTCACCAACGTGCAGGTCAGTTTTACCGCCACCGTCTGTGCGCGGCTCTGATGACAGGCTAAATGCTGAGCCCATTTTTGTCTCAGGAGCAGGCATCCTGGGTGTGCCAGTGTGAAGACCGCGTGGTCCAGAGGCTGGAGCAGGACTTCAAAGCGACTCTGCAGCAGCAGAACTCCCTGGAGCAATGGGCTTCTTGGCTGGATGGTGTCGTCTCCCAGGTCCTAAAGCCCTATGAGCAAAACCCTGCCTCGCTGCCAAAGGCGGCCAAAGTCTTTCTGCTCAACTGGTCCTTCTATAGGTAAGGAACTACGGGGGAAAGAGTCTAAAATATTCAGCCCCTTCTTGACCTTGTCTCATGTTTTTATTGTTACAACCTTAAAGTTGGTATTTAAATTTGGTTTTATATAATGCAAACAAACAACATTTGCTACTCTGCAGTGGTTTTGTCTCTACCTGCTCTGCACATTTAAAATGCTGAGGTGTGTATCTTCTTACCTCGGAATCAAGATGGATTGTCACAAGATTTGAGAATTCACAATCTCCCAAAAATACATCTTGCCAAGAGCCAGCAAATCTATTACCCTAAATGTTTTAGACTAGTGAAATGTAGTCTGAAATGCAAAACAAGCGTGGCTCTACCGGTTTTAGCTCTATTATCTTGAATTTCTTTTTGAAAAAGAAGCTAAGGCTACAATGTTTGCCTTTGTTAATGGGAAAAATGTTTGCGCATTCCTCCCAACCAGATTTGGTAAGAGTTTATTCATCAGTTAACTCTGCTAGTCAAAAAAATGATCAAGCTGCTACTGCTGCTGTGATTGACTAAAATCTCGACATAGGAGGCAGGTACCCAATCAGCTCGAAGATTTTTTTTTTCTGAATGTCCCTCCCCTTGGGAAACACTTTCTACATGAAGCCTCTGATATCTGTACATGTAGTTCAATTTGAATTCTACACGCTATTACTCTGGCTTTTTCAGTCAGATTGGATTCAGAGGGAACCAGAAAAGTCTCTTCACTGGAGAAATTATCTAGATAAAAGTAAAAAATATCTTAAATTAAGTGTACTTACCCTTAATTTGAGTACCGTAGGTAAATTAGATAGTTTGCAAGTGGAATGAATATTTTTACTCTTAAAATAGGATGATTAAATAATATGCACTTAAAATAAGACAATGCAATTGTGTTTTCTTATTTTAAGTGTAAATTGTCTTGTTCCATTAGTAAAATTTCTCTTCTTTTTTTTTACCTCCTCAATCCAAGAACAAATGCACTTATTTTAAGAAAAAATGACTTATCTAGATTTAGATTTTCTTCCAGTGTACAAATGTTAATTTATCCTTCCTGAGTCTCCAACAGACTTTTTGTTTTGGCCATTCTTACTTACCATCAAGTTCCCTGCAAAAAAACATGACGGTTCCTCCACCATCTGTCTTCTTAGATAGGATGTTTTCTGGAAAAGCACATCAGAAAATCTTAAAATGGCAAGCTCTTGCACTTGCTTGAGTTACTGTCGCTGTCTTCCTGGATGTTCCTATTATGCGTAAACTTTGCTTTAAGCAACATCACTGTTACTTACATGTTAAAGCAAGAACAACTTGCTCAATAGCAACACTTTTAATAAAACGTTCCTCCATTACTGATCTGTGGTCAGTGCTAGATTGCAGCCTCTACTTCCTGTTTAAGACAGCCCTGTGTGACAACGTATGAGGGCTTTGTGCCGCTTGATTATTCAACTTCAAGCCAAATGAGAACACTGCACATTTCACATTTCCTTTTTACAAACTCTAAAAGTTTGCAAAAACATGTACATTTTAGCTGAATGGAAGCATGGGTACTATGTTTGAAAAACAAAAGTATTGTTTTACTCTGTGAGAGCATCTTTCTGTGTCTACCATGACTTATCATCTTTCTAAAGCACATATAAAGGTTTGGTTTCCATCCTCAGATTCTTCCCTCTAAGCTGTGCCTTTCTGCAGCTCCTCTTTTTGATTGTGATCTCAATAATGCTTCTATTGCTCAGTCACTTAAATGCAGTAGAGTTAAACTCAAATTGGTAAAGCATGAAAAGGGAGACTGATGATTTTCTAGTCCCTGTATGTAAGCTAGTGGTTCTGTTTGTTTTTTTTCTTCTTATTCTCTAACAACATCTTGTACGTAATCTGCCCCGACCAGCTCTATGGTGATCCGGGATCTGACTCTACGCAGTGCTGCTAGTTTTGGCTCCTTCCACCTCATCCGCCTGCTGTATGACGAGTACATGTACTACCTGATTGAGCACCGGGTGGCCAAGGCTAAAGGGGAGACACCCATAGCAGTCATGGGAGAAGTAAGTTGTCATTTCGATCCATCGGTGCAAGCCGCGCAATTCAAAAGTTTTCTTCAAACAAACGTTTTCTTTAAACAAAAATCCGTTTTTTTGTTTTTTTTTTTGCTGTTGTCTGTTGCAGTTTGCCAGCGCTGTGAAGAGCAGAAACTCTCCAGATCTGGACAAAGGTAAAGAAAACCTCACTGATACGTGTTTAGCTTCCACTGATGTTCAGTGCTTACTGCCACGTTGCCGCATGTCTTCGTCAGAAGAAGAAGAAGATGATGATGAAGAGGACAGCGAGGAAGACAGTGGAGAGATCATGCTGCAGTCCAGCTCCCTGAAGGTGGATGAGGAGAAGTCAGAGATGGAACCGCCCGCCAAGCAGCCCAGAACCAGTTTAAATCTGCACCCTCTGACCTAAGGTCATGGCTCACCACCCTAAACGAAAACGCCTGCATCATGAACATCACCCTCTTCCGTTTTAGAATCATGTCCTGAAGCCATTGTTTGCATCCAGTCTGCTTGTCTGTTGTTTGTGGACCTCGAAAGTGGACGAGCTGATTTTTCTGTTTCTCCATGTTAGCTGATCATTACTGCCCCTGACCCGTTTCCTGTGCCTTCCCCCATCTATTCAGTGCCCACAGGCCCCTAAAGGTCTAATCTATCAGTACAATATATTCTTGATTTCCCTCCTGTCCTGCCTTAACCACTGACCTGGGTGATGTGGAGATGAGAAACCTCCAGTTTTCTTCAGCATTGCTCTTCAGCTCCAAATCATTGATTGCCTTTGATGAAATGACTATGCAGGAGATGCAGGACTGTAATTGTTGACACTAAACATCTAAGAGTAGCATCTGGAATGATACTGCAGCATGAGTTATGATTGAAGCTTAGTTTTCATTTGTTTTTATTTGAGGGTGCCATATTTTTTTTTTCTTTTTTTTACATTAAATTTGTTTTTAATTTGGCTGCCTGATCTGTGCCTTTAAGAGACTCCTAATCTCAAAAAAGAAAAGTTTGTGTTCTCTATAAAAAAAGAAAAACATATATATTATATTCTGTATTGTGGATTAATAAATGAATGTCCGGTGAAGTGGTCTTGGTGTTGTTATGATCTTGGTATGATTAGTGTGCCTGTCAGAAATATTCACACCTTTTCTTTTTTTTTCTGGATTGTATTCTGTTGAAATGTCTGTCGGATTCTGCGATTTTTGTTATAGACCAACAAATCATACTGCACAGATGTGAACTGGAAAGAAAAGGTGCAAATTTTTCGATCTGCACTTTTCATAATTACCTTTCTAATTGCGACGTCATGTCTTTTAAGATTTGTTTATCCCCGATTGGAACAAATAGAGGCTGAATTGGTGCCCAATTATTATTTTTTTTTGTGTGCAGAAGCCCATACCATGATGCTGCCTTCACCATAACGCAAGATGGGGAGGGTTAGTTTTCTACCAATTTGATTTATTTAAATATATATATATATATATAGAAAGCGCCAATTCACAACTTGTCATGCAGAGGCGCTTTACAGAGACAAAGAAAATAATTGACAGATTGGTTTTAAGTTTTCTCAAGAAACTCCGATTGCATCAAGTCACCAAATTCACTCCTCCTGGATAGGTAGACTTTGTTTGCATCGTGTCATTCACTTTGCAGCAATCCTTCACACCGAGCTGGAGTGAAAAGAAACATCCTTTCATCTCCAGCACATGCAGGTTTATCGGGAAGGGCCTTCTGCCCTGTTCCACTGAGGATTCAACAACTTTATTTACTACCCAATGAGCAACAGTCACCCCGATGCAACTGACCCCTGAGAACATTTGCTTGCTTTATTTTTTTGGGATCAGAGTAAATGAGCTAAATAGTTACATGCTTTTCACAGTTTGAACACTTTTCCAATCACTTCTGTTCTGCTCCGTTTTGTGTCAATGCATCAGATAAAATTATTTTAAAAAAAATAATAGAAATATAGATTTTTTTTGGGGTTTTGAATATTTTTGCGAGGCAGCGTATATTTATTAAATACTATGCCACTTCTGCCTGGTAATGTTGCTGCACTGTTCTTTCCTTCCTTCTGGCTTAAGTTTTACCCGCTACACACTTATAAAGATGCTTTCTCATCACAAGGCCAAAGGTTATCCCGCCTCTTCAGGAGCTTCTCTGTTGCTTTGTACCAGCTGCAGCTGTCTGAGGATTTTGTAGAGATGAAAGTATATGGTTATTTTCTAAAAAAAAAATACTGTGGATTTATTGTGTATCTTTTGTGAAAGCTGTTAAATATTGATATCTGCTCTATTTTTATGTTGTCTAACCATCATTGCCTTAAAATATTGTCCTAAAGTCCATCATCCAGAATGATGGCCTGAGACCCCCCCCCCCCTTCCAGAACATAGGCTCACATCCTGCAGGTCCTTGTGTGGCACGAGCAAAACTGATGTTCAACTTTGAAACTGGAATTAAGGCAGTGGGATATCTCTCAGGACCATCTCTTTACTGAGATCCCACCAAAGATCTTTGTAAATTAAAAAAAATGTTAAAATGTATATTACAAAGAAAATATATAAATTACCATTAATGTCAAAGTTGGTTAATTTGTTCCTTGTTTGTTTTTGGGGAACCTTTTGCCTAAGATTTTGTCCTCTTGATGTTAAACTGGAGACCTTTGTATTTTATTCTGTGATTGTTTGTAGCATCATTCAACTAAACAGATGTAACGTCTCTAAAAGCTTCTGTGAGTTTTTTTCCCCCATCTTTAAATATGCAGTAAGAACATATTTTTGCAAGTTCAAATTAACTTTTATATTTTAGATTTAGCTTGTCTATCAGTCTGAACTCTGACATTTTGACATATTTCTATGACTATTTCCAGCTTTGAAGCAAACTATCTTCAGATTGACTGTTCTAAGCATTAGATACTCTAGCCTCTGTAACCCGATCTCCAGATTTAAACTGAAATTTAATCACATATTGGAGAAATTTTACTGAACTTTTTTTAATGACACTATGCATCTATATTTACAACCCATAAATGCAGTTCATAATACCCTCATGTAATCTCATGCTACACCATACAGGTGTGATGATGGAGATCTACTCACTGTACAATAATGAAAGCTTAGTGTAATCAACAGATTACTCCCAAGTTTTCCCTAATTGACTGGGCTGATAATTAGTAGACTGCTTGAGGCCTTGGTCTTGAAAGAGCAGCCCATTAGGACATCTCAGTAGAGCCTGACTGCATCATTATAAGTCAGATAAGCCAACTGATTCAGGTGTGAATAGAGAAGGAAACATCTCAAGGTAGCAGAACACTGGATCCTCCAGGATTTGTTTGAGAACATGTAAGTGGAGAGCACTGAATGCGAGTCAAAAGGATTATCGGGATCATTGGGCACATAGACTTCCTTACAAAGCAACACTGTAAAGCCACCGAAAGACATATCCCACCTGGAAATTTTGCATCTATCAGATTAAACATTTTCGGCAGTAATTTACTTGGAGAATTATTTTTTTAAAAGATACAACTTTTCCAAACTTGGACCCACATAAACAGGGTTTAGATAGATGTCCAAATGAAGAGCAAACTCTTCTTTGTGGGAATTTTTTTTGTCCATGAGTTCATACTATGCAGAAGTGAAATATAGGCAATATGTGGAGGAGTTTAGTAAGGCACGAACTGAATTATACAGACAACTCGTTAACATTTGCCCTCTCTACCTTTGAAATCCTCTCCAAACCCAGCCAGTTGTGAGGACATCTCTGGTCCACAGCACCATTCAGGTAAATGCAAGATATGTTCATCCCAAGAACAGATAGAGGAGAAGAGCATAATGCTGCCACCACCGAGCTTTACTATGGGTTAGATGGTCTTTCTTTGCAGCATTCTGAAACAGTGGCACGAAAAGCTTAACCTCTATTTTTACACAAGGTTTTGTTTCAATGTTGTTAGTTTATACAGATTGAGAACACAGCCAGTGTAGCTACAGTAATATTCCTGTCTTTGCTGCCACCCTGAGCAGTTCCTTCCATTTCTTTCTAATAATTGCAGAGAAATGTCTGTTAGCTAAATCCAAAGTATAATTTATGCAGTTGTGTGAATTTAGGGCTGAATGCTAAAAGTAAAATTGTTGTTTTAAAAAGAAAGTATCAAAGGTATGCAACTTTATACAAGTAGATATTATTCAAGCTCCATTTTGAAAGTGGAGCTTAAATCGGTCTATTTGTGAACACAAATAACTCCAAATAACATTAAATCCATACATTTTACTTCATAAAATATTCCATTTGGACAGTCTTTTCCCACATGAAAATGACCATCGTAAAAAAAACAAAAGAAAAAACAGAACGGAGGAGGCTCTCTTCTAAAATACTGTGGCCCAACAGATCAGTGGACTGAACCACTGCAAACCAAGAGGAAACCGTTCTTAAGCAGCTAAATGCATCAATTTACACAAAATCAACATTAACAAAGGTAGAGTCAGTTACGCATTAACAGTATACCTTGCTGTGTATAAAAAAAAACAAAAAAAACTCTTTGTTCAGTCCAGCTCTGGCGTTTGGTGCCTGTAATATTAAAGACTTACAAAAGAACTATGAATACATACACAGGCAAAACCATCTGCAGCAGAAATGCTTTTGTTTAGTTTTGATGACACTTTCAACTTAAAACCTCTCAAAAATAGAGCGCTGCTCTGAGCTGAGCTTGTTGCTGAAGACGAGGACATGTCTTCATGAAGTTTTTCCAAGTTAGACCTGCTTGTTCCTTTTAACTTTCCCTTCATAGCACAATCCAGGTACATCGGTCGCTGTCTGCCAACACTTGCAGAGATGAACCTGAGTGAGAAAAGTTAATAAAGAGTTTAGCTCATTTTGCACAAACAAACATTTTTCAGGTAAAATGTCTTTAGTTTATAACCAAAAGTTCTCATTTAATTTCCTGAGCTGTGAACTCTCAAAATAATAAATACATTTTTTTTTAAAATGCAGAAAAGTAGAGAAAATATACAGATAGATTGGGACATGAAATGGATTGACAGATGGAGGACTGAATAAATAAATGGAATAATAACCAAAGTGAGCAAACTTATGGATGACAACACATCCACATGCAGCTGTATTGTAAAACTAGCAGAAAAAGCTCATTGGTCCAATAGAGCAGTGGTTACCCCTAGTGGTCGGTGACGGCATTGTAAGGGGCACATACAAATATTTTATTTCTTAGTAAAATACAATAGGGCTGGGATCTGTTTTTGCTTTTGAAAAATTAAATAAGCTTTTATCAACCAAAAAGTAACTTTTTCTTATATGTTTGAATTCACCAAAACCAAGACTGGATGTAGAGAGCAGCCTGGGATCAGCCGTTTTTCATACTGAGCTATCCGAGGTCATCAAAGCAGTTCGGGTGTTTTGATGATAACTAAGTAAAACTAATTAAGTAAGTCTGAATACAATTTTTGTTCAGTATTTTGTTCCCAATTCCTCAAGTTTAAATGTTATAAGGGAGTTATATTATAAGGGAGATACTGAGAGGAGCTCCTGTTTTATAAATACAGGTTAATAATAGGATTTTATTTTGTATTTATTTTGATTACTTACCAACTTCCAGGCAACATACTTATGTTGCACTTTTATTGGAAATGGAAAGAATAAAAATGCCCAAGAATTCAATTCTCTAATGGTAAATGGTAAACAAGCTTTACTCAACAGAGTAAAGGGAAGTGGATACGACAAACGACAGTCTAATCAGGGCTTACAGATGCAGGAAACGACAGATGTTGAGGCTCATCACACAGCTAAGCAGAATCATCTGCTCATGCGCTCTTTGTTATCTGAAAACTGAGCCCGAACTGAACCGCGCGGAGCCCTACTTGTGAACTAGTACCAGTTTAGCGAGGTTCGGTTGTGTCTGGCACGGTGTGTCAGTTGTAACTGCTACTCTGCAGTTATCTCAGTTACCATGCTCGGACCGATCTCGGCACGTTTTCAAAAGGCTAGTATAAATGGGGATATAGACTCACCTTTGTGTAGAGCTTCGTTGGTCATGCGGTTAATGTAGCGGGAGCTGTTCTCAGGAACCAACCACTTCAT